GATAGTGCACAAAATCATGTAATAATCAATTAAAGCACAAATATGCAAATTTAGCCGGATCTAGGCATGCATCATGTATGTAAAAGCATAGATATGCATGGCATGCAAGATATATACATATGTACAGTTAGGAAAAGCGATTAAAGAATGTGATAAATAAGAAGTGGGGATGGGAAATTATTACAACACTTGAAATATTACTAATCTGAGGGAGATGAATAAATATTACAACACAATATAAAATTCCTTACAAACACTCAAAATAAAATAAATATAAGAAAAAAGCACCTTCAAGTGCCGAAAAGACCATTGAAGGTTGATCTTCTCAACGTTGGAAGGCTGTCCGGTTTTGCCTAAAGGTCGCAAGCACGATCATGAAGGTCACGAGGGTGATGGTGTACTTTTAGGTGGCTACCCAACCAACTAACGGGCCGAGTAGCCCGGTAAGCTCAGCCAAACTCTATTTTCTTAGATTTCCACAACAAAGACAAAACTAAAACAATATATATGGGGGTCTCAACTCACCACTTTCAATAAGATTACAATAATATATAATATAACAAGAAATCAAAGCAAAAGAACAAAATAAGTAAGAAATGCAAGAAAATGAAAAGTTTGTGAAATTCGCCTTCCAAGGAAATGACGAACTCCTTAGTTCACAAACTCCCTCTTGATCACCCTTAAGTGTAGGAAGTGTGTTCTCAAATCCTCAATTCGAAATTATGGAGTTTGAGGTATGGAAAGTGGCTAACTCTCTAGTTTTTCTCACTTTCAATCACTCAACACTCTTCCTTATGATCAAGGCAATTGATCTTTGGCTATATCAGAATATTTGGAGTGGTTTGGTGTATGAAAATGAGGAATTTCAATAGCTATAGAAGTTTGGAAGTGTTTTGGCTCAATGTTGCAATTTAGACAATTTTTCCTCTTTTGCTCTCTTTTTTCTCTAACTCTCTCAAATGATTTTTCTCCTCATTCCCTCATTAATATCTAATCTGAATGTATAAGCCATGAAGGAATAAACAAGTGAAGGAATGGGGGACAAGGTGAAAGACAAATGTGATGGGCATGACAAGGATGATAATGATGATCAAGACTTTGTTGTTTTTTATTCATCCTTTATGACAACGCCAAAGCCTATTTTGATAATAGAGGGTGAGCGGAGATAATGGAGGATGAGTGGATGCACTGGAATGGATCCGAAAATGGGTCAACGGGGTGTCCCAACCGAACCAAAACACAAAAGAGAAATGGGTCTACTGCTGTCTCGGGCTGAGTCAACAAAATCCGCTCTTAAGCCTAACTTCAAACGGGCATATCTCCCTTGTCCAAACTCGGTTTTAGGTGATTCTTGAGTCTAAATTGAAGCCCCAGAAGTCTATATTCCAATGGTGGTGGCCTCATATATAAATTTTAAGTGTACAAAGAGATATGCCTAATTTAGTGAAACTGTTTATTTATTTCTTAACGATTTAATGCTCATCCTTTTCCCAAACCCGTTTTCTTCCATCCCCTCCTATTTCCTTCACTCCAAAGCTATAAAGAAGATGTTTTTAGATATTTTTCAAAGAGTTCACCTCCCTTCCATTTATTTCTACTTTATCCTTACTCGGTTTACTAAAAAGTATAATTTTTAATCGAAATGGGAGGCTCAGAACATCGTAGAAACATTTGAAAAAAATATTTTGAAAAAAGGGTTTTAAGATTTAAAATAGTTAAGCTAAAAATGTGTGAAGGTTGGGATCAAAGCTCAAATTCCATCTCTTTTCTGAGAATTCTGTAAGAAACACATTCTGATTGTCATCATCGGGTAATTAACAGAAAGTGCCCAAGTCTTAAGACTTGTCAAAATGGGGTGTCTATAATGTGTAGTTTATTTTATTAACATTTGAAGTAACCATATAACCCTTTTATGATTTGTAAACTGAAGTGCACCGTTAAATTAACGATTTAATGAAAAAGACTAAAATACACTTGTATTTGTATCATTTATTTGGAAGGTAAAGTGCACTTTAATCCCTATATACTTTATTCCATGTGTGATTTACCCCCTTGAACTTTGTAAATGGGCCTATAACACCATTATGTGTGCATGTATTTCACACTTACTGTTAAGTTTGACGAAATGTTTAATTGTGCACTTTTGTTCACAAATCACGTGGTGATTATGTGATCATTTTCAAATATTAAAGAGATAAACAGCACATGGCCCCAACCACAAAAGAATAAAGTGAAATTTGCCCTTTGTTAATTCTAAATGACAAATCGACAATTTATAGGTAGAATTTTTAAAATTACTTCTCATTAGTTTCAGGATACTTAAATTTTTAAATTTATTTAAACTATTTTCATCATATAAATTGTAAGTATAAAAAATAAAATAAAAAATCATAAATAAATAAATAAATAATGAGTGTTATTATTAGCACTCCATTAATTATTTTGAAACCCTTGATTTTTAGTTTTTTTTTTATTATTACAACAATAATCTCAAATAAAATTCTAAAAATGACATCATTAATTTTGGGACACCACATCTCACAATTAAACTCACACACCACTACATCATGAATTAGGGTTTATGAGAGTACCCACCTCCATCACCACCAATCCCCAAATCTCTCTTTCAAAATTTGTCCACCCTCAAAACCTTGAAAATCCTTTGGTGGAAATATTCCAGCAATAAAGGTAGCAACCATTTGATTATCTACACTTCTCTGGCAATGATAATAAGTGAAAAAATTTCGGCAACCACAACTCCATGAGATGAGAGGAGTGCAACAATAAAAGTTCAGAGAAAATTCATAACTTTAATGGTGTTCTTAGGTCAGAGGAGATTAGCCTTATAAGGGTAAGTTTCTTAAAAAAAATGACAAAAATAATAAAATTTGTTCGTCATTTTTTCGGGACTGAACTCCCGAATATATGATCGAAACTCGGGAACACAAGCCTGAACATTGTTTATTTTTTGGAAATCGGTAACTGAACATTTATTATTTGTTTGGAAACCGGTAACCGGGTATTAATCACTAAAGAAAAGGATAAGGCGGCACAGAGAGAGAGAGAGTAGAGACCGTAATTACACTTGACTCTTCTTCTTCTTCATGGGTTTTGTTAGAGTTTTTGGAAGAGAGGTTTTTTAAGGCTGGACGGTGTGCATTCAATTGAATGGGTGAAATGTTTTCACAAAGATAATTTTAGTATTATTTGGGGGGAGAAGAGAAATTTTAAAACTTTCAAAATTTATAAATGAGAATCCAAAATAATAAATGGGGTGCTAATAGCCAACTGATGAAACTGGTTCAAGGTTAGGCGGAAAAACATTCAAGTTGAAAAGTTTCAAGAAAAGCCAACTCATTAAACTGTCAAGGCTGAGTGATTATTGGGTGATTTTATAGTATTGCTTCATATCATTTATTATTTTGACACTTCTCAAATTATCTTAAAAAGTTCAAACAAAAATTATTAGGTCTTACAGTTTTAATCAATAAATATTAAGTTTGGACATCATGTGAATTTTCCCAACATCACCACATAATTTCTTTTGTTAGGACATGTAACTCGACAACGTATTTAATGGTCCTTAGACATAGCCAGATGATGTCCTAAACTGTAATTGGCGAAAAAAAGTAGAGTTCACAATTTTGTATTAGATCATAAGAAAACAGTAAAACAACATGATATTTAATGATTAATGGATACATCTCCACAACCTAATAATTTTTTAATAATGCTATAGAAATACCCAAATTTTTATCAAATATTTTGCTTGTGAAATCCAATTCATTTACAATATTTGATAAAAATTTTAGAACCACATTTTTCATAATTTTTTCTATAACTCGCCTGTTGACTGTGTAACTGCATTGATAATGCTTCTCGCTGTCAAGTGTTCTTCTAGCTTATCACGGAAACTTGTCACATGTCACTTCTTAATTGATCCATGAGTAATTGTTAGATGTAGGTTTAAACAATAGGAAATTAATGAGAGCCCCATTTGGTCCCTTGTCAAGAACTCGTACAGCGTACAGAAATATAGAACTCATATAATTCAGACAAACAGATAACTACTCTCCTGGTTAACACCCTCCACTAATACCTAAGGATATTCAATAATATATAACAGAAAAAAATATACCAGAGAATGACGTGATTACATCAAAATTTAGCATTTTAAAATAATGTTTATTAACCAAAATGTCATCGAATCACAAAATGATTCCCTCTTTGAAAATTAACAGTACCATATACTTAGTCTTTATTGAATAATTATTCGGTAGTCTCACAATATTATGTGATATTACTGGCGTTGTGTTTTAAATGAAGCATGCATCAAAAAAATTTATGGATGAGACATAATGACTTACCTTTGGTAGATGACTTAATATGTGTTGTTGTTTTTCAGTTGTCGGGAATATCATGTGCTTTGGGATTATCTTATAATTTTTAGTTCTATTTGCTCCACATAATTTCCCTCCACTCATTGAGTAATTATTTAGTAGTTCTCAAGTATTATGTGACGCTGCTTATGTCGTGTTACAAATCAATCATGTAGCGGAAATTTTTATATAGATAAGACATATTGACTTTTGTTAAGTAACTTAACATTGATATTTCTCATTTGTTTGAAATATCATATAGTCAATATCAAGTGTTCCGAGAATATCTAATGATTTTCAGTTCTTATATTTACACTGAAATTCATTACAAAATTGGATACAACCTTCTCAAATGAGTGTAAATTTTTTTAAAAAAAATCACTTCATATAAAAAAAAACAAATATATATGATTCTGTAATAAAATTCAGTATAGACTTTTTCAATAATTTTTCTCTCTTGAGCCATATTGGCCCTCTGCGACAACCACTAGGAAACGATATTGCTGATCTCTCAACAATGGGAATCCGGACCCAAGGAATCAAATCAACCAAGTAGGTTCATTTATATATATATATATGGACATATCAAGGACTTATAACGGTTCCATTTCCATTATCATTTTTCTGTTTATGAAAGTTGTCATCCCCAACAACCAAATGACAACTTTTCTTAGAGTCTCTCCGTTCCTTCCAATGATCCAAATGTTAACAAAGTCTACAAATACATACAAAAACAAACTATGTACCACCAACTCATGCCGTTGTTCCTTATGCTTTTCATCCCCAAACAAAACCCCCTCTAACTCTTCTCCTTCCCACAAAAGCATATACTCTCTCTCTCTCTCTCTCTTTCACAAGACAAGTCCATTATCATTTATTTGTGTTTTCAACATGCAAAGAAAGTTCAGGCAAGCCTTCACAGCCATAAAAGAACATGGATGTGTTAGCTATGCAAAAATCGCAACCATCGGAGGCTTCTGCGATCTTGATCATGTAGTTGTCAAAGCAACGTCTCCGAATGACTTACCTCTCCCGGATAGATATGTTCATGAGCTCTTGAAGATCTTCTTGGTCTCTCCATCTTCGTTCCGAGCTTTCTCACTCACCTTCACTCGCCGGTTTAACAAGACTCAGTGCTGGAGAGTTGCTCTTAAGTGTCTGGTTCTTCTTCATCGTTTGCTCCGATCATTACCTGAAAACAGCCCATTTAGAGCTGAGTTACTGTGGACTCGTTCTAATGGGTTGTTGGGTCTGTATCCTTGTAAATTCAAAGACTCATCTTCCTCAGCTTCTGAAGATTTTACTGGGTTTATCAGATCGTATGCTCAGTTACTCGATGAGGCTCTAGATTGCTTATCGATCGATAATAATAGAGCGGATTATTATGAAGACGAAGATGAAGATGAAGATGTTGATGATGAAGAAAAAGAAGTACCTCAGACCTTAGAAGGTAATGTTGGAACTTTTAACTTTATTATAACTCATAATCTTATTTAATAAAATCTGAATTAATGTTTTAAAAAAAAAAAAAAAAGGTGGAGTGAACACCCATTTGAAAAATAAATGATGATCTCATTGGAATTGTACAGTATGAGAAAACAAATGGTAATATAAAAGTGATCAAACAAAACCTAGTCACAATAATATCAAAGAATACTTAATTAAGAAGAGGGCATACACATTACCATGGTTGAAGCACCCATAAGACTACTAATTTGAAATGCGGAGGTGCTTTGCGTGGGTCGCAGAATTAATTGAGATGCGCGTATGTTGGTCCGGACATCCATCATAAAAAAAAATAAATGACTACTAATTTGAAGTAAGAAAATTGTTGGTATGTGTTCCATGAGACAATACATGCAACATATTACATAAACGAAGTTTTTCTCATAAAATGTCATCAAAATTTCGCATAAAATAAAAATTTAAGGGCAGTTTATATTCGTACTTCTTATAGTTTTTTTTTTTTTTTGTCAATTTGATTATTATAATTTTAATTGCACTAAATTTGCCCTTGAATTTTTTACATGATGCCAATTTAATCTAATTGATAACAATCTTTTAGAAATTGGATTGAAAAATCAAAGCGTAAAATAGTTCATTCACTTTTCTCAAAGTGATTGAGGGATTGACATACAATTTAAAATGATTCATTCCTTTTTAAATGAACCATTTTGCCTTTAACGAATGTTATTAATTAGACTTAATAAATCACACCTGAACACTACATAGACTGTGGCATACTATAACAAAACATACAAACAAAATCAAATAACCAACACATTTGATGTAAACCCTAAATTTCCCACAGGCAAAATGAAAGAAGTGGGTAGACTGCTGGAGCTCCTGCCACAGCTCCAAAGCCTGATAGACCGAGTCATTGACTGCCGGCCAACCGGGGCAGCTTCCCGGAGCTTCCTCGTCCAATCGGCAATGAAACACATAATCCGAGACAGCTTTGTGTGTTACACAAGTTTCCGGCAAGACGTGATGGTCGTGCTTGACGATCTCATCCAGATGCCCTACCGGAGCGGTGTAGCCGCCTTTGGTATCTACAAAAAAGCCTCGGTCCAAGCCATCCAGCTCTCCGAATTCTATGATTGGTGCAAGTCCATGGGGCTCTGTGGATCTTATGAGTACCCTTTCATTGATCGAATTCCTCAAATTCAAGTCCAAGCCCTCGAAAATTTTCTCAACGGAATGTGGCAGTTGACAGAGTCTTCTTCGTCGACTGCTTCGCCATTGACGTCTGCCTTGGAGGGGTCTCCGCTATCGAGTTTTACAGAAGATGAGAGTGAAAAACAAGAGGTTGTTGAGGATGAAGATAAGTTATTAGCAAAGAAAGTGGAAGGAGGTGAAGAAATGGAGCCATTGATTCAGTTTGATCATGAAGTTACCAATAATACTAATAATGATACTAGTTGGGATTGGGAGGCACTTCTTGAAGCTTCCATTAGTCCTTCAACAGGTTTTGTTCCTAGAAACAACTTTTTCTTCAACCCTAATGGTCATGACTATGTATACGGACACAGACATAGCTGTGACTATGGATACGAATACGAACACAGACATGGATATGGACAAGTGCATGGGCATGGGCATAATTTGGGAAATGGACAGTGTGAACAAACAAATGGATGGCAGACGCAGGTATACAATCCATATGCTCTAAATCCTTTCTATCAACAACATAACATTTCTCACCACTATGGATCATTTGCAACCAATCCGACGTACCCGTGGGGGCTTTGAGCATGGTTTTAATTAATGGGATCCGTATCAATATTGACAATGCAATCATATATCAGGTAATAACAACAAGTATCGGTTGATATATAGCTCAGTATCAAAATTTGAAAGTTTAAAATCCCAATACGTATCAGACAATGGAGGGGGTTCAAAGTTGGACTGATATGTTGTCTCAGACAACGGCTTAATTTTTTCTGGTGGAACAAACATTAATTTATGGTGTCCTACATCAATAATTATTCTTGTTGGGGTGTGTATTTAGGGTTTAGCTTTGTTTAATTAGTCATTCGATTTGTACTTTTGATGAGATGTTATATAACCCAAAGCTTTTACTTACTTTTTTTTTTTGGTTCTTTCTTTCTTTATTCTTTGTTACTAAGTCAAGAGATCTTTATTCTATCTATAAAATAGTGAAATAGAGATTATTCACATTGTCTACTTTGAAGGAAAGTGTTATTATTGATACAGAAGTGTATTGGTACTTAAATTTGTTTGATGCGTTAGTTTTCCTCATCTTTTGTCCATTAATTCTGCTTAACACTAAAACCAAATTCAAAAATAAACTCCAAATACACATGAATGAATAGGATTTTATATAGGCCTTGACTATTTAAATTTCTGATTATTTTAACTTGGCTAAAAAAATTGTATTTGGAAAATTGATTGACTTTTTTTGTATGTGACCTTGATGATTATAAAATAAAAAGTGAAATGATTATGAATTGAATGTGACATTTTGTTTTATTGACTATTTTAGCCTGTTTTATTTTTTAGTGAACTATTTTAGCCCAACTATATTCCCAAACAAGGCCATAATTTATTTTTATTGGGCTCACTTTGAAAAATATTATGCATCTATATAAATTTAGTGTTTGATTATGTGTCTAATTTCTGTATTCCTATTTGATCAATGGGGTGATATTATTGAAGAGTACAAACTACAGTCCAACAATACTTTGCAAATCAGAAAGGTTGATATCTTTCGAATTTTGGACGAATATGAGAGGTCTAGGTTTTCAATGAGTCCTTCTGAGGATGAGTATAACATGTAAAAGCGTCATACTACATTTATTAATTTACATAATTAACATTTCATTCAAAAAGCTTTCAAAATTAGGTAATCATTCAATAATCTCATTGTCTACATGTCATTTTAAAGTATAGTCAGTTGCATACAATTTTACAGCTGGCAGATGTAGACTCACATTTGTAAAGTATTTTATAATATTTTTTTCAATAAGAATATTGGCAATTTGTACCCTGATTGTAACAACAAATGGCATTTAATCAAAAATATGTTACACAACAAATGGCACTTGCTTAGATATATATTCATCAATCACATTCTACTGACAAACAATTATAATCAGTAGTGTCATTGCCATTCTAATATAGCTTTTCGCAACGTTCTATCCACAGCAGAATCAAAGAAAAATGTCTCGTAGCTCAAATTTTGTGGCTCAAAAGTGGCTCAAATGGCCAAAACGACGTCGTTTTGGCCATTTTTATGTCGTTCTGTACTCAAAACGACGTCGTTTTTGCCATTTGAACCACTTTTGAACCACAAAATTTGAGCTACGTAGCATTGTCGAGAAACAAATAGCCTAGTTTCACTGACCCTAAATTTCTGTGTCATCAATGTCACAAAACACTTCCAAGGATCATTAAAAATCTTATGGTACGATAATTTCAAGACATGTTTTAATGACTCGGAAGACAGAATATGAGAATATAGGATTTCCATGCCGAAGCAAATCTTACAAGCACATCAACAACTTTACATGCTACAGAAACAGATAAATAAAACAAAATCAAATAACAAGAAGATACTCCTCATCTTGAAAGTGGAAATGTATTTCATAACTTGATTCATGAGTCAGAGTACTAGATCTAGGGTGTCTGCTTTTGGCATGCTTGCGTTTCCAAGTTAAAGTATGACCAAGGTGGGACACTGAAGAATGTTGTTTCTCCAACATTTAGATGAATGAACACTATTCCTATTCAACCCTAATTAAGGGGTTGCGGCGATAGAGGTGGAATTGCGGCTACTTTTGGTTGTCAGGTCTTTTACCAGCATAATCAAGACACCTTGTTCTTCAAGCTGTTTCAGAAATTTCTGATGATTACACAACTTTTCCAAGGCAGCAGGGGCATTCCAATAAAGTCCACCAATAGTAGCATTGTGAAGAGAACGATTGAAGTAGTCTCATCACCAAGTGGCTCAGGAAGCAGAGAAGCCAATTCAATAGTTTAGGGTTTAAGGCATTCCGATAGAGTTCACTAATAGTAGCATTGTGAAGAGAAAGATTGAAGTAGTCTCATTCCCAATTGGTTCAAGAAGCGGAGAAGCCACTTCAATAGGTTTTTCCTGAACGATTCTGTTCGAATTTGATGTGAATTTCATACAAAAATCAGACACCCGTTACAATGCACGAATCACCGACCACTCAAATTTTAATCCTTAATATTATACATCAGGCCAAAAATCATGTAAAATAACTTGCTCAGTTAATTGCCCTATGAATGTAGTAATACCAATTGGAAATCCATTATTTGCTTGTTCATGAAACACAACAGCAAATAAATGGAAGAAGCGTCTGGTAAAACAACGAATGCATTTCACAATCCAGCCAGCAGTTGATGAGAAAGTCTTCTTCAACCTCGTGTTCTAACATCACTTCCGGTGCCGCCTCTTTGGTTCGGCTCTCTGCCTCTTCTCATCATCCCAATCTCTGTCATATGTCCTAAACCATAGTAGTTAAGGAATAACTTCTGATATGTAATGGCAATTACCAGTGAAACAAAACAAATCTGGCCAACACAAATGCCACGTACAAAAAATATCATTTGGTGACAAATATCATTTTTCTTCAATAAAAGACGAACTAAGAAACATCAAGACTTCTAAGGTGGCATGCCGACACTCATCAAACAATTTCCAACTGCATCTCCTACTTCTAAAATTTTTCTAGACTCGAAGAACACATGTTTCTATTGCTTAGACACATGAAATAAAAGAACTTGAAATCAAATGATAAAAAAAAATAAATTAATAATGATAAATTTTTACATATGCTACTCGTCTATACTTAATAAATTATTATATTTTAAATAAATATCCATGACATAATAATTACTTATCCTTATATATGTCATATCATAAAAATATAAAACTTTATATTTTGCACGTCCCCCACGTATCATGTCCTACATATTTTGATAATTTCTGTGTGAACATGTCTATGTTGTGTCACATGTCCATATCTGTGAATCAACGTGTTCAGACCAAAATGCATGCATGAATAGAAGAATATTCAAGGATACGGTTCAGTATCACGACGAGTCATCTTGCTGGTTGCTTCTTTGCCATGAATCCTCAGGCCCGGTTCCTCCAAGTAACCCGGACGCTGAACCATGGTCCCCTTCCTGTCAGCCCTGTCTCTTCCATCATATGGCTGTGACATACCAATATTTACAGGAGGAGGTGGTGGGGCTGCAGGTGAATACTCACCAGCCTCGGGCAGATGCTCCCTTTTGAGTTTTCGTCTTTTAGACACATTTGCATCCATATCCTCCTTCAAAGGGTTTGTTTTCTCCCTCTCCCTTTCCCTCTCTTTCTCCTCCACCTACATGCAGCAGTAAGAAAATATAAGCAACAAACTTTGGACGAATATTTTAATATTACATTAGCAAGAGCCCCAACAAAGGTCAAAGTTAATAAGAGTATCCACCCAAAAGCAACAGTAACCTGTTCAGAATCAAATATCATAGCATTGTAAACCAGATTTACTTTGTAATAAGCTGTATAGAAACAATTTGAATAAGAAAAGTTAATATTCCATTCCATCAATCAATGACTAATAAATGAACGGGCAAAACACATTTTACCCCTATGGCTAAAATATAGCCAGAAAGTCCCCATGTGGCTCTAGACTGAAGTGTCACCGTTAGTTTTTCTATCTAAACTAATGAAAGGTGTGTCACACATACGATTTTGTAAAGGGGGCTTGGTTTTCTGAAAAAATAAAGTGAAATTAATACAAAAAGACAATTTTATCCCCATCTTCTCCAAACCTAAAATTAGATTAAGATGTTAATTAAAAAATAAATAATAAAAAAAGCAAAATGTAATTAAAGATTGATTTAAAATAAAAAATATAATTGAGGATTGATTTACAAAATAAATAATGATTATAGATTTATCTAAAATAAAAACAAATTAAAATTAGATTAAAAGGTTAGGAATTATAACAAACAATTAAAGATTTAGGATTAATTGATTTAAAATTAAGCCATGGTGTATGCTTTTTGCAGACGATATCGTGCCAGTGGATAAGACTAGAGAAGGAGTTAATACAAACTTGGAGATTTGGAGAAAAGCTCTTGAATCTAAAGGTTTCCGGATAAGAAAAAATAAGACAGAGTACATGGAGTGTAAATTTAGTAACAGTAACAATGAAAGCAGAGGAGCAGTGAAGATTGAGAACCAAGAATTGCCTAAGTGTAAACATTTTCGTTATTTAAGGTCGATTATCACAACAGCGGGGGAGATTGATGCGAATGTGGCCCATAGGATTAAGGTGGAATGGTGTAAGTGGAGAAATGCGTCTGCGGTACTGTGTGATAAACGAACACCCACTATACTAAAAGATAAGTTCTGTAGAATGGCTATTAGACCAGCGATGTTGTATGGGACAAAGTGTTGGGCAACCAAGAAACAACATGTAGATAAGATGAGTGTGACTGAGATGAGGATGCTAAGGTGGATGTGTGGCAAGACTAGACAAGACAGAATTAGGAATGAGTATATTTGGGAATGGGTAGAAGTAGCACCGATAGAAGATAAGTTGAGAGAGAATCGTTTGAGATGGTTTGGTCATATTCAAATAGTATTGATTATAGGGTTTCTCACTAAAAAGCTTCTTTTACTTATATAAATGTTCTTTTTCCGATTTGAGATTGTATAATAAAAGTTAAATGAAAGTTAACCAATGAGAATCTTCTTAATTGTTTAAATTAAGAAAATTTAATAATTTATATAAATTGGAGCATAAGATTCACTTTATGTAAATGAACCCCATTTGATGGGACTTAAGACTTGGTTTGGTTTGGTTTAGAATTAATTGTGATCTAAAGTATAATTAAATTAAAAAAGTTAAGAATTACAATAAATAATTAATAATTGATGATTGATTGTAATTTAATTGAATTAATGTTAAAATTATAAATTATATGTATAAGAGAGGAGAGAGAGAATATAACAAAATGAGGCATAGGGTTTGAGAGTATTACAATCATTTCACATCTATAATCAACGGGATTAATCTTTGCACTTTGGTAAAAAACCACATGGGAACTTTCTAGTTATATTTGAACCATAGGAGGATAAAGTGCTCCGGTCTCTAATCACAAGGGGTAAAATGAATTTTGCCCTAAATGAATTAACTCAGTAAAAGGTTCCAGCCTAGTTGATCACTAATTAACCAATAGGTAAACCGATGTATAAAATTTATTATTTTATATATTAAATCATTATGTAAAATTACAAAAAAATAAATAAATATATTTGAGAAGGCGAGGAAAATTTAACATCGATCAATTATTTTTACTGACATGAAAAATGAGATGATTCAAAAGAAAGTTTGTGTTTCTTTTTTTATTATTGGTACATCAGAGGTCGTATCCTAGGGGAACAAGCAAGTCTTGCATGTGGCAAAACTTAAACACTTAACCTCCTAGTGAGGTACTGGGGTTCAAGCCAACTGAGCGAGCCCCAGTTGGTTGGGGTTTGTGGTTTGGAAGTTGTGCTTTCACACATATTTCTTTAAAGGAAATTTTATTTAATGTATTATGCACATAGAAACATGTTTGATATGCCCTTTATGTACACTTACTCTACGAGATATTACAGACAGAGTGTAGACATACCTTTACTGATATCACCTCTCGCTCTTCCCGCTTTCTATCTCTAAAATCCTCTTCTCTTCTGCGTTTTGCATCATCCTGTGAAACAAATGTATTCTCCTCAGATCGTCTCCGTTCTCTATCTTCATGCCTTGGTGAAAGTCTTTGAGTATGTCTAGCAGTTCCAAACCTTCTGTCAGCATCCTCATCTCTTCTTCCTGCATTAACTGACTGGGGTACCATGTGAGGAGGTAATGGTGGTGGTGGAGGCAAGTTTTGCCCATGAAATCGATCATCAACATGAGATTTCTCTGCCGATGTTTCATTATAGCGCAATTTACTTCTATCATCTCTGATCCTTTCATCCTTAGCTTTGTCAGCCAGCCTATCAAAGCTTCTATCAGAACCTCTGTCTTGTCCTCTTTCCACAGAACGCTCTCTCCCATATCTTTCCATTGACCTATCCCTTGATTTTTCCATTATAATATCATCTCCACGGGACTTTTCAGAACGGTCTAACCTTTCCCTATAGTCCCTGTCATGTCTTTCGGTCCCCTTATCTTTAGACCTGTCCAGGGGCTTATCTGTAGCTCTACTGATAATTTGCTCATCAGATCCTGATTTGTCAACATCCACTGGAAAATGTTTATCAGCTAATCGGGGATCAATTGACCTCTCCCTATCAGAGAATCGAACTTCACCCTCTAAATCTCTTGAATCAGCTTCTCCTTTCCGACGCTTATTTAGTCGGTCCAAATCTTCAGCAGGGCTGGCTCTCTTTTGTGGTTTGTCAACAGATTTTGAAGCTGTAACAGAGTTATCATGCCTAGGAGAATGAACAGGTCTTGAAGAAGGAGCTCTTTGAATATCAGAAACTTCAGCGCTATCATCTTTTACAGCAGAAATCCGCAAATCAGAAGCCTTTACAGCTCCACTCTCTACCTTTGGTTCACTGCCATGGATATCTAATGATTTTGTGGATGGAGTAGTTCCTTTAGTTGAAGTTGGAAGTACATTGCCATTTGCTGAACCTGCAGAAGAAATATTAGCTGTCACACCTTGCCTGCCTTCAACTGGATGCGAGAGATCTCTGTCAGAGTTAGAAGGAGGACCTGATATTCTGCCAAAAGATTTTCCAGATTTACTGTCATCTTTTCCAAGATCCTGTTTCGGTTGTTTTGAAAGAGATCCAGCAGGCAATGGGCGTTTTACAGGACCTCTCACCTGCCAACATGAAAAGGAGAGAACTGAGGGAAAAAATAAAGAAAACTCCGCTGAAAAATGAACAGATTACAAGAAAGCAATGCCCAAAATATTCAAGGTGATCCACAAATTTTTAACTGTGTCAGGAGATTTATGCATGTATGTATTATAAGAAATAAAATGCATACATATGTTACAAGAACAAATAACAAATTATTATAATAATCATTGAATAAATGAGAAAAATAAATTCCACTGAGGTTGCCAAACTACCTTGCGAGAATGCCTCTTCATGTCTAATTGTCCAACAATAGATGAGTTTGAATTCAGATGTTACCTGAGATTCTGAGGATGTCTTCGACCCAACTTTGGGGACATTCTCATCCAATATTCGGTTTGTAGACTCATCCATCTGTTTCTGATTTTCTATTGATTTGGATGTTCCTGCATGTACAGCAGCAGAGGGCATGGAGGCCTGAGCATCTGACCCATTTAATAATGAGCCACCTTTAAGTTTTACATGTCCCAGATCCGGTTTCAGTGAAGCACTTTCTGTTCTTTCCAGCCTCCCATCAACAGGTTTGGTTCTCAATATCTGGTCTTTGACAGCATTTCCAGAATCTGGATGTTGAGTTCCTGTAGCAAAAACTCTTCCCCCAGTAGGTTCACTTTGAGGAACATTTTGTACAGAACTACCACCTAGCGATTTTGAAGCAAGAGAAGGGGCAGGTTTCAGTTCAAGAAATCCCATGCCAAAATCATCATCTGTGACCCATGAAGGCTGCAATTATCAATGAAAACAGATCAATATCATAAGCAATGAGCAAATGTCGATGACATTTTAAAGCTTAATAACAAATATCTTTCTGCATAAAAGAGCACAGGAGACAACATGTCCAAAATTAATATAGAGAGATTTAGTGGCATCCATAATCAGGGGAGTTTCATTTTGCGTTGTACCTTTCTAGCAGCCAAGGCTGCAGCAACGCCTGTAGCCAACACCTTGAGATCCTCTCTTTCATCGCTTTTAATTTTAGCAACCTGAAAAGAGGGAGGGAGGGGAAGAGGGAGAGAGGAGTGACAAAAATAAAAAGTGAATACACTGCTCAAGAAGATTACAATCTTATATAATTAACAATAATTCTAAGTAGTCTTACCCGTTTTTCAAGGTTGATCCCACTCTTTCGAGTGACAGGGAAAACACTAGAAATTTTTGTCAACATTATAAGAGCATTTCGGATCTCCATGTACTCAGCAGATTCCAAACACTGAATCAACAACCTTGTAATCCGCTGACTCCATTTCCAGTGTACCTTTTGGCAAAAAAATGGGTGAAATTAATCTACAACCAATTGATAGGGATTATAGTATTTAAATCATATTTAACACATGTCAAAAGGAGCAGCAGCACCAGTTATCGCAATTTCAGAAAAGAAAACAGCAGCAGAAAGTGTCCATCCAAAACATACTTTTATATGCACCATAAAGGGTTTTCCACATATCACAGGAACTATACTTAGAGCTCGAGAGCATATTGATACAAACTGAGCCAAATTGAATTTCGGTGGTCCCTGGAAGTTAAATTTGATGACCATCAAAACCCAGGGACTGTTATTCCATTGAGGTGCCGCCCTTTACCCACCAAAAGTTCTACAAGAACACTAAAAGCCTAAATACAGGTTGAATTGTAATGATAAATTATTCAAGAAAGGGATGATTTTCATTCAATGTTCCTATTCATTAGCATGAAGAAAGGAAGAATAGACCAACAAAAGGAAAGAAAGGACCTAAGTTTCTAAAAATGCTGCAATACATCATTAACATCCTTACATCACTTGAAGACAGTATCATATAGAACTTTTTGTTACTGTTGCCATCATAATTTTCAATTTTTTAAGGTTAAAATAGTACAGTTCTAACATGGAGTAGCCATGCCTGCCTAATGAGCTGTAGATAACCTAAAATAGATATGCAACTGCGGACCTTATAGCATTTGCCCCCATGCTCAACCAAAAGATATCCTAGTGATAATCCCATTGTGAACTCAGCCGTTAGAGCATTAACAAGGACAGAGTAAAGCACCAAGTGTTTACGGGGCTAGGGAGCTAAGAAAGTTGGGGTGATAAAAAAAGAAAAAAGGGGGAAAAACTAATGTCATGAATATCCACACAACCTCTTTCTTCTGAAATATAAAATTTGGACAAGAAAACAGTAATAATTTCTAATCCTTAAGCTTCTAGGTTAGTCCCTCAAATTGTTTCATAGATAAAATTGATTGAGGTACTCACTCATCTAAAGTGTTAAGAAGTCCTAAGAAGAACACTAGGGAAAAGGCTTTGCAGTGGGGGCATTTCCTTCATGCAACTAATTATATTTGGGCAGTTGATGAACATGAGCAACTAAGTTTTTTTTTTAATCAACTAGAAAGTGTTTAATATTGACTCAGATAATTTCTTGTCATACTCTTCAAATGCCCAACCTTAGCCACACTACGGTGAAGAATTGATTTAATATGATTCAAAAATTGATTTAATATGATTCAAAAACTATATAGGTGATGGTAGAACCAAGTTGTTTGCCTTCAAGATCATCATATGATTAAGTATTTGTTATGTTTTATTGCAATAAGAATCATTGGAGCATTCCACCAATCTCTAGTATTGGATAAATCATGTCACATCTTTATTAACCCAATGCAGGAAAAAAATCAATCAAGTTGATAGGTTCCTAACACAATTGAGAAAACAGGCCTCACAATTCAAAACCAGTAAACTAAATAAATGAGAGAGAGAGAGAGAGAGAGAGAGAAGGCATCATCACGTATTTAATCGTTAAAATCTCTAATACTAAAATTTGCCAAATAATATCAGATAGGGATATTATCCACTCAAGCTCGTTGCAATTCCCCTTCCTAATTCAACTTTCTAACTTTCATACCACCCCATGAGAAATTTATGTCTTTTCACTTCCTCATCTAGTTGTAATGATTAAATGATCCTTCAATTTTATGAAGAGTCCAGACTTTCAATTGCAGTAATTCTTTCCAACTCATCTAGTTGTAATGATTAAATTATCCTTCAATTTTATGAAGAGTCCAAACTTTCAATTGCCGTAATTGCAGTCATACAACTTATATAACAGTATGCAAGTAGAAGACTGATATTGATATTGTTGTTTCAATCTATTCTTTAATACAACCAAGGTAGAATTACCTGCAGTGAGATAAATTGAACTAGAAAATCAAGAATCGTATACCATACAAATATATACATATATATATAATATGACTTCAAGATTAAAAAACAAAAAACAAAAGACACAAAGAAAGAGAAGGGGGCAATCTTAATTCCATAGCCTATTACATAACTATCCAACGTGTATTGATTCAATTAAGATATTGATCACAATCATTCATTGATTTTGCACACTATTTTTCTAAACTACCAATAGAATCATAGAAACATTGCACAAACAGTGTAAACCTACATACTGTGTAGAGGAACGACAAAAATAGAATAAAACAAAATAAACAAAAAATGGACTTAGCATACATAAATTACGAGTGTCAAGCAAAAGAGAAATGGAAGAACACTGCTGTTAGAATCAAACACACAGTTCATTGTAAAATATGAATCACATGGCTAGAAAATGTGTGAAAAAAACACTGCACATGTTTAAGCATTTTAGCATCCACAGTAATAACCGAAAAAAAAGAAGAATAAAAGAAAAGATGAGACATTATTCAACACAAGTCCAAACCATACATGACTGAAGTTCAAAAACTCAGGTGTGTGAGCAATTTTTGCTTCAATAAAGAAGAGAGATGCCCAAAAAAAGGTACAAAAGGCAAAGATAAGGCGACAATATCAGACGAAAGGAACTTGGGCCATTGACTTTTGAAGGATATAGATAAAGCAGTGTCAGCGCCAGAAAATATTACAACTTACAAGATGATACACAAATAATAGGAGCATTAATGAATATAGAATTTAACTACAGAAACTGCAAAAACAAAGTATTCAAGCCTAAACAGTTTTTTTCCAACTACTACGAATACAAATTTCACAATTAAGAGATTACACGAAATTTGCAATTGAAAACAATCATCATAACAACTATTCAGCACTTTAAAATGCCCATGAACTCACCTTAATAAATTGACTATAAGTAACACGAAGGCTGTTTGGATCTCTATAATAGACAGCAAACCCTGGCATGTTTCCACACTCACGTTCATATATTGATTCATCACTCTGCAAGGCAACGCATTAGTCAACACAAAAAAACCTTTCAGAAAACTATGCAGGCAGCCAACCACATACATCAGCCTAAACATCATTGGACAATACCAACTAAAAAACAACACAAATGATCATTCACCTTCCAGTGGTAAGCAATCTTCAACGTCTCACATAAAAACCTCCCAAGTCGACCCACTTCATACTCAGTACAGCAGCATATCATAGGTTGTAAGGTTTTACATATCAGAACATCAATGTGGTTGACTGTGTTGAAAAATGGTGTTCCTAGAGAATGAAGAGTATGTACGAACATAGAACAATAAACAGCATCAGGCATACTGAAAGTACAGCGTGGAAAAATACAACGCTGGAGGAACTCCATGTTAATCTTCAAAGTATCCGGGCAGGAACTCAACCACTTATCCTTCTCACAAGCAAGCCGCCTTCGAACAGATGCAACATTTTCTTCATGTTTCTGGAGTTCACTAGTAAGACGATCCAAAGATTCTTGAATTCTTTCCTTGTCTTTCTTCCTTTTTGTTATTGCTGAGCTAGAATTATCAGATAGTTCTTCGAGAGCTTTAAGAGCAGCATGCTGCTTGACAATTTCAGACTCATAACGATTTCTAGGAACATAAAGATCATAAAGTGTAAGCCCCCAAAAAGTGGCATACAGATCTGGAGAAAGGCTGTTCCACGCTTTTGAAGGTAACATCGTTCTAACTGTATCAAGAAGATCTGACCACCTGCATAGAAGGTATAAATTTTTTGAAAGCAGGACAACATAGCTAGTCAAAAGGTAGAAATCAGAAAAACAAAAAAATTTAGAATATCTTGATACAAAGCAAGAATTCACAGTAAAACAGTGCCTCAACAGTACATAAATGTAAACCAAAAGTTTCATATAAGCCTAAAAATGTTACAAATATAAGCTGTTGAAAAAGAGTAAGGTCGGGAAAATCACGTTATAGGCTTCCGGGAAGGACCAAGATCTAGAACCAATTTGCCAGAAGAATCTGTGAGTTCAGATTCATTTTCCACAATTGAGGTCTTTGGAGCTTCAGTGTTATCCAACGGCCAGAAGACATCAGAACTAGTCTGGCACTTGAAGAGCCTCATTACAGGCCGATAAATTAAGAAAGCCACCTGTATCAGATATTAGCCCACAAAAAGAAAAGAAAAAACAATATTATAAATAGTGAGTTGAATCACATTACGAATTTTACCAAAATGAAATATAGCTGTCATTGGAAACTAAGTAAAATAACTGTCCTTGGACAGTTTGTAGAAAACACAGAAAAAGTCTTTATAAAAGTACCTAGGAATAGAATGCAGTCCAAAAGGTAAGTGAATAGAATGAATGAGGAGTCATTATCTAATCCATGAAAAATATGATATATGAAACTAGTAGAAAGAACTCCCAATACTTTAGAGAGAGAGAGAGAGAGAGAGAGAGAGAGAAACCTCGGCATCAAGGTGGTAAAGGTGTACAAGATCATCAAGAGGTGGAATCAGCTGACCATATGCTGTTGTTGGTGTCACAGCACTACACAGGAATTCTACATATTGAAGAAGGGTTCCGTGGCATCTATCAAACTGTTCACTAACCATCTTAATGTATTGCACATCTGCATTTATGACAACCCTGTAAAGAATAGTAGTCAGATAATGTTCTCAACAACTCACTGCATTTACATGAGCATCATTTCTGTGGCAGTCAGCAAAAGCTGACAAATGGTATCTAACTCCCTATCACTTGATAAACCTATCTCTAACTAGTAGGGTCCAGATTCAAGGTAATCGACTCGATCAAAATAAAGGCGGGCCTATTTAATCCATGTAGAAGTAACTACAAACTGGTTGACATAATAAAGATTCCTCATTTTGAACCCAAGTTTAGACAGAAATATACTTTCATTTGCACCAATCATAGCAGTTAATAGTGTTAGCTCAAGGAATTTTAGAAATATGTTGTACTGCTTACACAGAACGATGTTGGGCAATAAGCAACAGTAGTGGAATTGCTAACTTCGGTTCATCCTTTGGAAGCAATGAGTCCCTCAGCCTGTTAGTGGATTTGATCAATGCCTGCAAAGATAGTTACATGTTAACATTTCAAGACTTCAACAAACCACCTCAAGCACTAAGATGAGTTAATTTCTATTTGAAATACATTTTGAATATAAACCAAGATTTAGTAGTCAAATAATGAAAGGTATCAAATATAGTTTTCTACACTTTTCATCTATTTGAAACAAAACGAATGAACAACAACAACAGTTATAATACTATCAATAATATATATATATATATATTAAAGGACAACATCCAACAAGATATTAAAACCCCATTAACTAGATGGAGAGATCTAAAAGGTAAGAAAGAAAAAGTAATTAAAGATAAAATGTTTAAAGAAACATGGAGTTTGGAAGATGAATAACATCTGAAATACAATGCATTAAAAAAGAATATCAAAAGTTCTTGGAGAATCAAAAGAAAAATGCTTTATATCCAAAGGGACTTGGTGGTTGAATAATGAAATAAAAGTCATAGTAACAACAAAAATAAATGCTTTAAAAAGTGGCAAGAGGAAAAAGATGAGAAAAGAACATTTACAAACTTGCGAAATTGAGAACAATGAAGGAATATACTTTTATCAGGTTAGGTATATTAAAATAAAGGATTCAAGGGTGTAAGTGACGGATGAGAAGATTAGGCTGTGTGTTTGGATCCTGGATTTATTGAGGGAAAGGGAAAGGGAAAAGAAAATAAAATTACTCTATTTGTTTGGTTGTAATGGAAAGTGGAGTGGAAAAGAAAATAAGAGGGAAACAAATAAGAAAAAGGTTATTCCCATATTTCTCTTACTGATATGTGAGGAAAAGAAAACAGAAAAGAGGGAAGAAAATTTTATCGAGCTAAAAACAGAGAGAAACAGAGTCTCAAGCATTCGGTCATGGCTTCTCGCAGGAGACCATTGTTGATGAAGTTCAACCTCCAACGATCGTTCATAAGTAGCTATCAACAACAATTGCCAATGAGTTTTGAAGATCTACCTCTAGCAACAACCATCATTCATCCAACTCTCTCAATCAACGATCATCATTTGCTTAATCCGCTAATCTTCAATCACAAAACTCAATTGAAGATTAACAACCTGAAGATTCCAATCACTCTATATACTGTGATTACTGTTTGCGGTAAATGGTATTATTTAATTATGGACAATGCAGAGGTGGTTGTTGATTTGGTGAGATTTTCATCATTGAGATGACGGCAACATAGTGGTGTTGGCCTCCCAAATGTATGGTTGATGCATTCATATTGCTTTTCTTCATATGAATTTGTGTTATTTCTCTTCCGTTTCTGCTCTTTATATTGGCTTCCTTTATAAATGGATTTTTTTATTGTTTCACTAATATATATATATATATGGTGGTTGAATAAGTTTCAATTAAATCCTACAGTGAGAAATGCCACAAGAGGGACAGAGAGAGAGAGAGAGAGAGGATTACATTTCCTTGTCAATTTCCCAACTCAACCAAACATAGCTTGGAATTTGTATTCTATCATTTCCTTTTGTTATACTTTTCCATTTCTCTTTTCCATTCCCTCAATGAATGATTCCAAACAAAGCATTACGGGGTTGGTTGATCTAGATATTTTAGCTTATGTCGAATTTGCAGAGGATTTGATAGCTTAGCATTTTTTCCTTGGGGTTTTGAATTTTGTACTCTTTGCATCATCTTGATGCTTTTCTAATAAATTTGCTTATTTATCAAAAAACAAAGACGACAGAATATAAGCTTTGTTGTCAAATAAGGGAGTACAACGTGAATTTTGCATTGAAGAAGATGAAATGGGGTAAGGGATTAAAATCATATTGTATTCCTATTGAGGCTTGGAATGCATTAGGCAAAGAGGGGTGTTTTGGTTAACAAAATTATTCAAAACAATTTTAATGACTAGGAAATGCCTAATGAGTGGGGAAAAAATAACAAATTTAGTTCCGATATATAAAAATAAAGAAGATATCCAAAATTGCAACAATTATAGAGGCATTGATAATGCATACAATGAAATTATGAGAGACAGTGATTGATTATCACCTAAGACTTACAATAACAGTGTCAGAGAATCAATTTGAATACATGCCCGATAGATCAACTATAAAAGCAATATATTTACTAAGAAGATTAATAAAGGAGTACAGAAGGAAGAGGATGGATCTTCATAATACAACTGTCCTTTTGTCAATCCTATCAATCCAAACGGCAGCAAAGCAAAAAACTGAAAGAAACTATGAATTCACTTTGTTAAATACTAGAAGGCGCTACAAATGCAAGTGGAGTTCATTAACCCATAATTAATTTACTTTTAGACGATTGTCATCCAGTGGTTTATCCTACCAATTTGCGGGGAGTATAAAAAGACTTGGCTGTTGATTTTGGTGAAGATGGGTGTTTAGTGAAGAAAGGACTTGCATAGGTCAAAAGATGAAACATTAGTGATAGGAACTTTACTATTCTCGTCCAAATATTATGCCTCGGAGAGACTCCATTTTGGGGGAGCAGACTTGGAGGGGTAGAGTGCATACTCAGCTCATCGGCTAGCACTGTCCTCTTTTATACCTTTCTTTCTTTGTTTTCTGGTTCTACTAGTTGGTCAATGATGCGAGTGGGACAAACCTAAATTTTGGCATTACTTTCCCAGTGTGTTTGGCCTAGACTTGAACCACATTCTCAGTTTAACAGCCAAGTATGCTATAAGTGCTTAAATGTCATAGTTTGTCGCATGCTTTATTTTATGTTCTAGAACGCAAATATCAATTCATATTTCCCCACGCTAGAAGACTTAGAAGAAGAATATCTATAGAATTAGAAGAAAAATCTCAATAATATAAATATAAACTACGGAAGGTATCTTAAAAGGGTATTCATTAGTAAAAGAGAAAAACAAGAGTTCATATCTCCACCTCAAACATAACTTTCTTTTAACAAAATAGTATAATTTAGTATAAATTAGGGTTCAAATTGTTAATAACAAGAATCAAAATAAAACAGTAGGTTTTCCCTTAAAGAGGGTTCATGTTATGAGTCGAAGTGTCTAGGTTAATCACCAGTCTCCATTGTACAGTTTGGAATGTAAATAGGAGCTGATTATCTTCTACAAACATAATATCTTATAATGAGTTATGAAATATTAAATTGCTTAAGAAACTAAATCACTGAAAGTAGACTCTCAAAACTTTACAAAGCACCTTGTTGTTTCGGGTCATCCCAAAAGAAGTAGCCTGATACCGGAGAGTGTCACTCCCTGCCATGGCATCTAACTGTTCCTCAGTCATGTTCTCTGTATATTGGACATTTGCCATTTGCTGGATAAGCTCCTATTCCAACCACAAATGTTCAAATTATAAAGCATGATGATAGAAGCCACACCATAAATGGCATAATTTAATGTCTGAAAATACCTGCAGAAGAAGAAGTTCGATTCCATTCCCTTTTTTCAACTGATTCACAAGATATTGGAAAAGACCTCTAAGTTCCATTGATGGGTATTTCTTGCACCTATAAACAAATCCAACCGCTATAATAATTTTCAAAGAAGTAATCATTCTCAACTTTGATTTTTCCATACATTCTGTTTCCACATTGCATCTTTCATAGAAAGTATGTCACCAATCAATAATGCAGTAAGTAAACACAAAAGAGGAAAATGAAAATAGGGCAATTATAGTTAGGTCCTAAACACTATGACTAGTTCACATAGAGAGGAAGCAAGATGCCAGTCATGATAGAAAATAATCCAGACAGACCAGCAATCCAATGCTTTGATTATAGGGATCAGCAAGGAAATCAACTCATACCAAATATTTTACTGGAGAAAGAACACACATACACACACACACACAAAAAAAAAAAAAAGGATAGACAAAGTAGAAAACAAAGTAACAAAAGTTTTCAAGGGAAAAAATTCAGCAACAAAGAAATATCATACAACTGTTCAAATAGAAACAAACAGAAATAGATAAACACACACACACACACATAATAATAATAATAATAATAATAACAACAATTTAAAAATAATAAAGTAGCCAAAACATTACAATCAACTTTTCCAGTAGTATACAATCTTTTTTTCCTTCTATTTTGTTGAGTCACGAATGGAACAATACAAGAGTTATTAATTGAAAAAATAGGATTTGAAACCAAAGAAATCCATGGATCCTAATGGAATCACAATAATAGAATTAGAAAAATCTCATCCACATTTGCTAAAGTAAATCAGCATTTGGTTGACCCCTAAAACCACTCAACCTGGTCAGGAAATTTAGATCATGTTAATGAACTCCTCAACTATTTCTGATGTAATAATAACATTTAATCCATTTTTAATATTATTTTAACTCAAAACCTAGATACACGACTAGCCCATCATCTTTTCTTTTCTATTTTAATTTCTTAGTTCTCAAATCTCCACCAGAGTGCTAGTAGTGATGTAAATTGTATCTACTAAAGATATCAGGGGTCTTGCAGCAAGTAGTTATAGTACACTAGGTTGCAGAATATGTGAGGAACACTAAATGATTGTACAATGCATTACCATAATGAACAATTTATATTTTATGCCCGGTTGAGAATTCTCCTTGCCTTTGGTGAGAAATGTCTCCAATAAAAACCTCTCATTCCTTGTACAATTGAGCAGCACTGATACCCTTGTGAGCTTTTTGGTTGATGAAGCTCAAGAAATAACACAACTCTCAACTTTCAAGCATCGCCTCTAGAGAAATTGAACTTAGCTTCAAAAGTTCATGAGCTTCGTTCTTTGTATACATCTCATACTAAGGCAAATGAGGAAGCAACATATATGGAATCTCTATCTTATAACTGCAGGATTATGCCAGTTATCAATGGCATTGCAGAATTATAACCTCACGACATCTGGATCTACCAATGAACCATCAAACAAATCAACTTCATGGAGTTACAATCGGAAAAGAAATACTTCTTTCAACTCTCCCACTTCTTAAACAGAACATATCCCCTCGATGCACAGGCATCCCCTGCTGAGCTTATCAAATGTGGGAATGTTATAGTCAGCAGCAAATTTAACAGAAAAAAGACAACTTTACTGAAATTTTCCAGTCATACGCCAAAGGAAATGCAAAATCGCAAAATGGTAATAGCCGCAAAAAGAAAAACAACAGTCACAAAAACTTAAACTATCCAGGAATAAGCACCTTCTATCTTCAAACTTCCAACTAAGTCTAAGCTTCAAAATAGAGCAACTTGACTTGGACACAAATTCCTAATTACATGGAACTCAGCAGAACATGAACATCCCAGTGCACAGCCATGCAGTCCAACAGGAATAGTTTAAGTATCTGTATGCCAATCACTTTGAGATAGATGTCTCCGAGTGTTCACCCCTCATCTCCCTTTTCAATAGTAGTTTTGAACCTCAGCTAAAAACATCAAAAGTATTTATGCCACTATACAACCCCTTCCAGTACATGAAGGCCAACAAAGCACTGTCTGTCTTATTCACTCTGCAGTTTGTCATACTTGCACTCCACCACTTGCCTGCATGAGCTATTTGACTTCATACAAACATACCTAGGGCAAGATTCCCATAAAACCACCTATATTTGGTCTACAGGAAAACTTCCATCTAAGGACACATCTCATTTAAAACTTTTGAAAAAAGAGCAATTCTCTTCTTTGGGACTTCAAACCAAACATATACATGGAGGAAGGTTTAAGTGGAGTACTTCTCACTTGATCACTTGCCTTCCCTAACCCCCCTCCATTTTCTTCCACAAATCAAAAAACAAATGCCTGCCCTCCTGCAGATATCCTCTCCTTTTTCTATTCTTTTTCCCCCATTCCTGTTCTGATAAGCAATTTGTCAATCTTTGTTGCTGAATCTCATCTGACTGATGGCCCAATAAGGCAAGCGAATGTAAGAAGGCTGAAGCAATATGACCCATCAAAGGAGCTCATGAAAATCTGCACCATCAACTACATCCCCAGCTCCAGTCAACCTGCTTATGCTGAGGTTAATCTGCAACCCGCAAACTGGGGTAAATCATCCCATGTCTGTCTAAACTCTATATGCAACAAAGAATGTACATTATAATTATTATTTTTGTAATTTTAGGGTAAATTAACATTCTTTATAATTAAAATATATATATCATATCATACATCCACAGTCCACAACCAGAAAAATTCTTGACAAGCAAAAATTATAAGCATGTCGAGAAATGATCAAAATCAAATGAATAAAAAATATACATCATAAGAAGAGTAGCATTGGGAAAGGGCAAATAATGCAACCCAGCTAAAAATAAAACTAAGATTGAACCTATTAACAAACTATACTTGGCATTACACTCTAAAGTAAAGATCCATTTATTCCCAAAATAAGAAAGAAATGGCATATATAAGAAACAAACGACTTATCCAAAAATAAAAACTCCATTTAACTAGAATAAATTCCTAATGCAGTAATACTTTAAACAAACATTTAAGCACCAGTGTAAACTAGCCCAAACAAGAAAAGAATACATACAAGTGACCCCAAAATGAAGCCAGAGATTGAAGCCAGTCTGACAAATTAAGACCATCATCTTTTAGCTTCTCACGTCCACCTTGTGCCAAGCGCTCAATCACAACATACTCCAAAACATCATACTCAAGCTGTGTTGAAAACCATACATTTAGTGAAAGAAAAACAGAAACCAAAAACAACTACCCTAAATAAGTTAATTGTACTTAGAATGTTTTGATGAGAAGAAACAAGTTTAAAAAGCACATATTTGCAATGCATTAATATCTAGATAAACATGTTTGAACTGTGATGCCAATAGAGAGTTCCAAAAGCAAAATCACATCACAGGTGATCCCACATTTTGATGAGGAGCAACTAGAATGACATCAGTAATAAACCCAATAGTCCTACACGAACCGCATGCAAAACAACTGACAAGCAAAAATATAAATTGTCAGTAATTAAAAAAACTATGTACTTCACCAATTAAAACCAATGATTTTCTGTACAGTAAGCATTAACTTCACTAGAGAACTCAATAACATTTCCATCTAAGTTTTCACAAAAGCAGCCAATTTTTTTCCCCTCGCGAGTCTGATTCATTAGAGTTTCAGAAAGCTCAATATAATCATGTGATAACAAGCTTTAATTAGAAGACAACCAACATTACTTATATCTTCGTAAACAAGAGATTAAATCAAAAGAACAAAGTTGTGCTAACATTCAGGACAAAGATGCACAACAATAACGGCTGCCACAGCCCCAGTGCCATCAATTTACTCTTACTGTCTCACAGGAGACAAATATGAGACTGAAAAATTTCCAACTTCTGTTAGAACAATGCATAATATTAAGTTGGATCTCAGTGTTTCCAGATTGATTAACATTTTGCCAGATTTTCTCGATGAATAGTCATCACATGGGCAAAGTTTATAATTTCAACCAGGCAAAAAGAACGACTTGTTTTAGTGTTCATTTTCTATTAGTTTGTCAAACATTTACATCATGGTTTCAAAGTAATTTGGAAAAAATTAAATGCTTTCATACGTACTCTGCTCATTCCTTCCATTTAGTTACTATATATGGAATTTTTTATTTTTTTATTTTTTTGAATTTTTTCAATGTGAAGGAAAGAAAGACGTCAAAGATCAGGTAGAACCCTTTTCACTATATTCAATTATGTAAACCAATCCAAGTGAGGCCGCATTGGCAACTTTCTGATATTGTCACTATTTTCTTTCAACTTTCTAGAACACAGTTTCGTACAATGAAGCAAAAGTTCGTAATGTTTTCAATAGAAATTTATGACCTCTATCTTGATTTCATGAGATGTCATGTTATAACGAGCAGCAATGTATTAACATCCCTATTGCTAAACCCAGACCATCAAACTTACTGCCTTGAATACATTCTGGAAAAAGAACAATTCTCATTCAGCTATTTTTCATTCAATCAATTGGAAAAGAATACCCAGTTCATAATTAAGAAAGCTCATTATAAGCATTTGTGGGACTACCGTGAAAACCCAAATCCAAAGTATTGCCTAAGCAGGGAATGCCTATCTTCGAAATTTTAAACCTCATACCAGAGACAAAGAGGATTAAAAGATGCAGTGCATGATCACATTCTATCATGTAGAAAAAATTTGATGTATGAGAGAGAGAGAAAGAGAGAGAGAGAAAGAGAGGACGGAGAATGAAAATACTAAATAATAAATCCACACCTGTGTCAAGTACTTGAATGCATCTACCACAGGAGTAATCATATCCCTGTATGCCTCTATCTGTACATCACAATTCCAGAACATAAATGTTCTCTCACAAAATAAAATAACAAATAAATAATACAAAGATAATTATAATAATGATAATCATAGCAACAATAATTATAAACAAGCTCTACCAGCAAATTAAGTGTTGACCACCCCAATTAACACAGTACCTGATGAACAATTGTTCGAAGTACGGTCATTGGATTGGCATGAGCAAGTTTTGCAACCATTCGACCCAGCTGCTTTAGATTTTCCTTTGCAAGTCGTTTCAAGATTCTTCTAGTGTCTAACTGTGAAAGAGCAGGGCAAAGCAAACTATGCTCTTCAGACACAACACTGAAAGCAGTGAAAAGGAAAAAGAATTCAAAAAAGTTATTTTGTTACCTTTGCCGTTTGCCTAGCAGCCAAAACCATTGGAATCCGTTCATCATCTTTTTCCCATTCACCATATAAACGATACCTCGCCTAAGCAGGCAACACACCACTAAGTAATATATATCTAATGAGATAAACACAAGTATCATACAGCTCCCACATAATGCCTACCTCATATGGAAGGAGATTCATAACTTCCCATATCTCCTGCCCGACTGCCGGATTTGCAGGTATCAATTGTAAAGAAGGAAGTAGACATGTTCCCAGGGCTTCCTCAATCCTTAATCTGGCTTCCTTCAGGTGAAAACGAGGATTTCGATTTCCACCAATACCAGTTTCAGGAATAAAATCTCCATTATCGGCACTAACAAGCTCAAGTGCAGACAGGTAATAGCTTCTCAGTACTCTACATACCTGCTTGCCGAGAAATCACACACAGCTCATTCTTGTGAGCACTAGGGAAAAAAATAATCCAAATAATAAAAAAATAAAAATCAATTCATAGAACAAAACAATGCACCTTCTGCAGCAGCAATGTATCACGGTAAAGAAAAGGTCCAGCACAAGAAAGCATCTGAAAAAGCTCTTTTGGAAGATTAATGAAGGATTTATGGACTGATGAATTTGTTTCCATAGAATCATTACCAGCTGCTGAAGGCAACCCCAAGCTCTGAAGATGTGTTTGCCGAACTAGGTCATATGCTGGAGATATATTTTTTTCAATGAGCCTGGACATGTGCAATGAAAGGTTGGAAATAGAAAACTCGTAAACTTTCAAAATAACCTTAAAGATATTGGAAGACAGCAGGTAAATTAAAGAAGTAGATTGCAAGTTTTAAGAATGGACACAAGAAGGAAAAATATGCAGGCAGATGCGAAACCAGAGACAGAAACGAATTATATGAACTGACAATCCAAATTCATCATGTAACTCAGACATACCTAAACAATTCATTACAAATTTGAACATGTTCCGCCGGGTTAAGAGGAGAAAGACGATCAAAAAGTATATGGGCATGATACCTGGCACAAAAAAAAAAAAAACATAAATATGACACCATATACTCGAAAAGTTTAGTAACTAAAACAGTTAAATTAAAAGTTGAATCAAAAATAAATAAATAAATACAACTGAAATACTTAATACAGACAGGCTTAATCATGTTAATGTTCCATTAAAAATCAAGTCCACCAGTGATGAATTGAGAAAAAAGATCGAAATACATGAAAATGTGTGGTACAAAAAATCTCTCTCTCTCTCTCTCTGGCACCAAAAAAAAAAAAACATAAATATGACACCATATACTCGAAAAGTTTAGTAACTAAAACAGTTAAATTAAAAGTTGAATCAAAAATAAATAAATAAATATAACTGAAATACTTAATACAGACGGGCTTAATCATGTTAATGTTCCATTAAAAATCAAGTCCATCAGTGATGAATTGAGAAAAAAGATCGAAATACATGAAAATGTGTGGTACAAAAAATCTCTCTCTCTCTCTCTCTTGTTTGCATTCCGGTTTGGGCTTCAATATTTGATTTTATAAATTCCGACCTATGATTTCTTGTTTGTCCTTACTTTCTTCTTATTTTCTTTCATCTTTTCGATTTCCTTTGTTTCCCGCTTCTCTTTGTCTTATCTCTGTCTCTGTTTAGGGTTTCTCTACTTGGAGTTCTCCAAGGCTTTGGTCTGGTTCAATCTTTTCTTTGTATTAGGTTTTTCTTCCTTCAAGCTCCATCAATCTGGATCTTGAATCTCTAGATCTATGTTACCTAGAACGTGGATCGTTCCGGTACACGGAGCGGTAACGGGAACGTGGTACGCCACATGCTCTAAAATGTTATATATCACACTTAAGAATTTAAGGTAGTTCTAAAGTAATTTTCTTTTAACAATTATCTAATAAAAAAAAATTCTTCTTTCATATAGCAAATCATTTCTATGAAAATTATGACCCATTTTTTATTTTTTGTCTTGTTAAAACTTAACTCATCTTAGATTTTAGTTCATATATTTGAATTTTTTTTCTATTAAGTTAAAATTTAAGGAAATATATTGGGAAAAAAATTTTGGGGATCATGTTGGATCACTAAATTTACCGTTTTGGAACAAAAAGTGTAACCATGTTGTGGAACGCGTGTACCAATATGTAATTCGCTAGGATATTAGCGTTTTCTGGTAAGATAGCTCTAGATCGTGAGTCTTGAGTTGGTTCTATTTTTTATACTTTGATCTATGTTGTGGGCCGGTTTTTGAAAATCCAAATGTCTTGGTAAGTTTCGAGATGGGCAAAGGTTTGGTGGCGGAAACAGGGAAGATTGAACAAACTATGTGGACCATGAATAGGTTGGGCTTCGTTACGAAAAAGGGGAATAAGGGGTTACAGGAGGAACTTTAATAATCTTATTACAGGGAAAGAAAAGGCCCAATATAAGGCTATTTGTATTCATTCAAGTAGAGCCAGCCCTGGGCTAAGGCAAGCAAGGCCTGTGCCTAGGGCCCCAAAAATTAGGCCCAATAAAAGGCTCCCAAATTCATAGTCTTGTACTACATTAAAAACTTAAAATGGCCCAATTTTGTTTTATTAATTTAAGCCAATTTAAAGGGCCCCAAAAATTTTGTTTGGGCCAATTGAAAAAATCGCCGATTAAATTTTTTTTGTGAATGTTAGTTGTTAGCCCATTTGAAAAATAAAATATAAACTATATGTATATGGGGGTGTTTGGGTAGAGGCTATTTGGCTAAAATAGCCAATAAATACAAAATCGGCTAAAATAGCCAATAAGACAAAATGTCACATTCAATCCATAATCATTACACTTTTTTCTCTCACAACCATCAAATTAATTACCAAAAAAAAAAGAAAAAAAGAAAAAAACCCTACCATCTCAAATGTAATTTTTTTAACCAAGCTAAAATAGCCCAAAAAAATCAAATAAAATAGCCTATTCCCAAATAGGGTATATGTATTAGTTGTTAGCCCAATTCTGTTTGGCCTATTTTTCTTTTTAACTCTCTTTATACGTGTTTTTAGTGAATTTTTTAATATTTTACGCAAAAAAACATATATATTTTGTAGATACACTTAATCTAGATACATTTAAAGTATAATATTTGTGATTTTTTTTATTAAAAAAAACTACCAAATACAAAAAATATAAATAAAAAACATACAAATTGCAAACTCAAAATTATTTTGAAAAGTCTAAACCAAATTGGGTGAAATTATTTTATTTATTTTTTTATGAATATCTAAAAGGCCCCCGAAAAATTATTTCGCCTTAGGCCCCCCAAAACTCAAGGTTAGCTCTGCGTTCAAGCTACGAAGGGAAGACTATACTATACAGTAGCCTTTGATGGTGGAAGGGAGTCGCGAAGAACTGTGGTGATCTCTGATTTTGGGGAGAAAAAATTGAGACGAGTCGCATAGTAGATTGAAGTGCTTTCCCATGGAAAGGGATTTGGTGTAAACCCCCCACACTAGAACCACCCGCTCTAAACCACCCAACATAGCAGGGAAGGGGAAGCTACAAGCTATGTGCAGCTCCTGCTAAGAATCTTACCATTTAATTCAGATGAAACAAGTGCAAGTGAATTGATGCTGCATGTGTAACGAAGGATTGAGTTTCAAGAATGCTCAATTTAGTGTAGAAATGCATTTGATGTGTTGCCTTTGGTTGTGCTTCCATTGTGTGAAGTTAAACTGGAAAATGAAGGGGTTCTAGTCTACAAAACATTAGCAGTGAATGAGGAATGGAGTCTTTGGATGTGCTTGTTTTGCGTTAAATAGAGCAATCGGGCAACTCCTATTTGTAGAAGGAGATGGGGAGCCAAGAAAGTGAAATGGGGTCAGGCATTGGGAAGGTTTTTTCTCGTTTCCTTTTTTCTTTCTTTTTTTTGGTTGTACAAGGGTTGTGCCATCTGTTATAAGAATCTTATGATTCACAACTCGATTCACACTTCACGCATAGATCGACAAGGATCTATAGGTGAATTTATTTTGGGATAGAATCCATGGTGAATCGCACATTTTACAATCGATTCACGATTTGATTCACCATTTGCAATTCATGAAATTCTTGAAACTATCTTGTCCGACAAATTTAGACATTTTCACTCTTTTTTCTTTTCTTCTTTTTTCTTTTTTTGTTAGTGAAAATGGCATGATACAACTTTTAAGAGTAATTTGGACAAAAATAACCAACACCTATGCATAATTTATTATTATTTTGATGATAAGAGAGTTTTACCAAGATCTAATCGGATCTACTCAAACCCATCAATGCATGTTCTTGGTCCTTTTTTTCCTCATTTTTTCACTTAAAAAAAATATCATAATACATCTTCTAAGAATATTTAAGATTAAAGTAATTATCCATTGCTAAACCCAAGGCTGTTAAAATCAAGATCCTAGGTAGGATCGGTGAGAGGGCCTCATGGATCGAATCATAGGATCGGATCAAGAATCGTAAAATCCTACTTTCTATTTTAAAAAAAAAAAAAGATAAAAACACAAATTAGAATGATATATATTAAAAATAAGGTGAAAAATCACAAAAAAACTACGATCCTACCTACAATCCTAATTGCGATCCTATTATAACACCGATCCTACAATGAACTGGATCGTTTGAGCAATGTAGGATCGTAGGATTGTACAATCGTACGATCCGGGTCGTGATTTTAATAACCATGGCTAAACCAAACAAAAAAGTAATTATCTATTGCTATTTTACTAAAACAAATATAACTCAACATTACATGAGTTTGGTCAGCTTTTTGTTCATCATTTAAACCCAATGGTTCCACAATTGTTTTTTTTTCTTTTTTTCTTTTTTTGGGGTCGTCAGTTAAACCCAATGGTTCCACAACTCATTTTTTGAAACTTCTAAATAATAAACATACACACCTTTTAAAGTATTTTCGGTTTTAAGATAAAGAATTCTACTTAATTATTTCTTAGTATTATACTATGTATAAGATTCCTAAATCCATTTTTTAAATGTCAAGAGAGATTGTGTCTTCTTTTGCTATCAAGGCAATGTCTTCCCTCTTAAGATGGTGTAATCCTACCCTCCTTATAAAAACTATTTTATAACAAGTTAAAATTAATTTTTTTTCACATATACAATTGTTACCATCATTTTTAATAGTTTAACTGAATCTTAATGATTCTCAATATGATTCGATACATGATTCACAAAATTAGGATTTCAATTCACGATATGATTCTCGATTTGACAACTATGGTTGTGCCCCTCAGCACATGCTCTAATATGATTTCTTCTTTGTTGCTAATAAAAAAAAAAATTGTTCCATTAAAGAAGTATAAAATGCATGATGTGCAGCAGGATAAAAAAACAAATTGCCCATTTTGAAACTTTTCAGGTCAGAATATCCTGCAACATGCATGCCACACAAAATATGTGTTGCCCCACACCCAAAAAAAGGATAAGAATAAAGAGAACAGCAAGAATAAAAATAGGAGGGGAAACGGCATTATGCAAGTTCATTTAACAAGATATTAAGAGAAACACTGTAGACCAGCAAAAAGAACAGCAGAATGGAAGATATATATATCACTCGACTTGCTCCTAACATTATTGCGAAATGAATATCTCGTACACAAACAAATTATGGCATCAAGAACAATGGAGTAGAAATTATCAACCTAACTTTGATGGAAGTCCTAATTCATACACAAGATAATGTAACATCAACACCAAAGCAAAAATAATAATAACAAAATATTTAAAATATCGATGAGAAATAATGCAGCCATTAGGCAGCAGGAAAGTTTCACTTCCCAAAAACTAAAAATTAAACAAAGATAAAAGATTAATAATTCCAAGCCGATAAAAATAGATACTACACCTCAAGCACACAAATCCTAACAAGCATAAAGGGAGCTGCACCAAACTATAACAGTACAAGTGCAATAAAAGCAAACATAGCAAAGAAGAAGAAGCAACGAGTAGTTGTAAATTACACACACCCACAAGAAAAAGACGAACAGATAAAGACTAAAGACAATTTTTACAGCGCAGAAGCAGCTGAATTTCAGACATCAAGCTTACCAGTCATTCACTGAAAGAAATCCAGTTAGCAAGCCCAAAGTTTGATTATTCTCAAGCTCTGAAGCCCGTTCAGTGACTGCCTCACTTTCCATGTCTAAAGCAGCAAAAAGATCTATTGTCACATCTCCTTGCTTCTCGTCATCCATAAGATCCTTCCCAATAGCAGCAAGATTTATTTTGCCAATTTTATTAGCCTGTAAGCCATACCACATAGAGAGAAAGAATGAATATATTAGGGTAACAAGATTTCCAACTCTAAATCCTTCTCAAGAAAGCCAAGGAAGAAAACTGGAGAGCAAATTATGTCGTGTCACTCGTCACACCCAATCTGTTGCTTCTTACAGAATGTAATATACTAAATGATCTGCGTGCACCCACATGTTTCATACCATATGAGAAAGAAAAAGAGCATACAACCATTACTTAAACATCTCAGTCAAAACTACATAAAGACATTTACACAGAGGCAGCGCACCCAAGGTAATCACGCAGAGAAAATTGCAGTGACAAGATAATGACCACAACAAGAAGGACAAAAAAATAAGATGCTGATGCTGATGACGATGACGATGATGATACCTAACTAATAACGTACAAACAAAGAATTCAATCACTTCTAATTTAGTTGATTACCTCATCAAGTCGCTTAGCAGAAAAAGCATTATAATGCTCAAATGCCTCGTCATCCTTGGGAAGTAAATGTGCATATCTGAAACGAATACAAAACCTTTTGATAACAGAACTGGCAGCAAAATTAAGCTCACCATACAAAACCTCAGGGAAAAAAATAACAATATACTGTCAAGGATATAGAAACTTTTTTCTACAAAATATATCAAATGTCTGACAGCGAGCACATCACTTTTGACATACAAACTCAACCAAGCCTTGCCCCAACTACTTGGAACCGACTACATGAATCTTGTTTTGCAATTCCGATCTATCAAGCACCATAACTCCAGTTAAACAGCATGATACTAAAAGTTCAATGATCCATCAAAATACTATTTCTAGAAATACTACTTAACCCAACCAAATTCCTATTTAAAGATATTCAACCTTTTCCTTGAACCACACTCGCCCAAAGAGACTTCAAAAACCTTACTCCCCACACTGAAGGAATCTTTGACTAAGATTTTGACTCCAAATTAATACTTAGTTTAATCATCCCAGACACAGTACAACAATAGAACACAGTAGACATTACAAACAATTAACTATATATACTAATAAAACCCAATTGAGTAAATGCTCCTTCATAGTGGCCATATGTACTTAAAGTAGTCAAACATGATACAACCTTTGCCACAATATGTGCCACCATTTTTAGCATCATGATAAATAATCAGCCAACTTATCCTTTTACCAGAAAAAGAATTAACTAAGCTGCTCAACAAAGTAAAGTGAACATGAGGAACCATGAGGCTACTAAAAATAAAAATAATAATTAAAAAAAAAATGAGGAACCTAAGTTGAAGACAATCTTAGATGATTGTTACTATAAAAAGATTGATTAGATGAACAATAAATTGAAAGAACCATTACAAGGCCAGAATACGCACAAAAACAACTCACATGCTATCAAGATCAATGAACTCTTTCTTCACCAGTAAAGCTGTCAACTGATAGAGCCCAAATGGCACTGGGCAATTCACTTCCATACGCTGATAGTATTGAAACTTAAAACCAAGAATCTGGGAAGCATGAGACTGTAAAACATGGAAATAAAATAAGCAAAGTATAATCCATTCATTGAGAGTAAAAATACATGAACAATATGCAAGTACAACCAGGATTATCGGTTGTTCAAAAGAAAAAAACAGGGTTTGGAAATGTGGCATATGTAAAATATAAATTAAAACCATACCTTGGGAAAAATGGGAATCAGATCCAAGAATACACTGCTATCAGGCCGAAGTTCAAAACACTCCAATACCTGAGGTATCAAATACCAATCAGTCCTAAGAGATGAATTTCAAATCAAAGATTTCTGACAAATTACTAACTGCAATAAACTGCAAATAAGCACATTAATCAAAAATAATACAAAATGCCAACTTACAGTGTCAAACACGCGATTTGGATCCAGATCAAAGTGTCCAATCAGTGACTGCAAAACATTAATATCGCTTAGAAAATATCTGCACAGATATATAAATCTAAACAAACAAACTAGTTTCAACATGAACCTTAATTATGCCAACAATTGCTGCTGATGCATTTTGGGTTGATGCCTCAGAACCCTGACAAAGAAGCGTAACCTGCAAATTCAGAACAATTTAACATAAGCAGCTAGGGGAGAAAGGTTAAAAGAAAATTCAATGCAAACCAAAAAGTGATAATTCATGTCAAACAGTCAAATCAATGAATATAAGAAATTAGTCAGTGAATATAAGAAATTCTTAAGTATAAACTTTAAACAGTTAATTGAAAGATTGGGTTCATAAGACATACTCGATTTTAGTTGTAGGGATGCCAAAAAGTACCAATGAGAATATTTATGAAAAAGAAAAATTACCCGGGAGAATATTTACAAAAAAGCAACTACAATAACAAAGAAAATTAAGCGACTTAACCATGCTCATTTTCTCTTCACCTCTATCTCTCCTTTCTACTTTCTCATATTTTTTTAATAAATTCATGATTTTTTGTTGTCGAATTTTTTCGTTCAACAAAATTTAAAAACAAAACAAAACAAAAAGAAGAAAAAGAAGTAAATAGAAAAAATTCTTGTTAGATATTTCGAATAGGTGTCGAAACAACTAATTGTTTCAGAATGTTTCAGCATGTTTCAGAGAGTTTAGATAAAAACTCTGCAATTTTGATTTTTCACTAGTGTTTCCATGTCTATTTTCTAAGAAACAGAAATGTTTAATGTTTTAAGCCATTTGATGGAAATGAATTGAGATTATGTTCCTTTACAGATAAATAAAGTACCTAAAGGCCACCAGGAAGTTCACTTCTGACAAGGTAATATACTAATACTAATATAGGAGACTACAAACTACTAAGCATTTAGAACCCCTCACAAGCAGCAAATCGAATTCACAAGAATATACAAACACATTTCAGAATCAGGTCGTGCTTGAGCCCAAGCAATGTCTTGCATAAATTGTTAACTCAATGCTTCATATCGGTTCTGGTTTATCAAAAGAAAAGGTTTTTGGAGATCCGCCCAGGTTTTCATATATCTGGTCTAACCTAGAACTTTAGGACAGGAAAAAAAGTCAAAAAGGACCTACTGCTTGACCATAGCTGCAAACTCCCACACCCTTAGCCAGTACCAGGAATTAGTCTTCGGGTTACGAGTTATACAGAGTTAAAGACAAGATGTGGTGTCCAGTCATATTGTTAGGGATAGTTATGCCACCTATCTTTTTTACTTATGCCTTTAATAATGACATCGACCAAGTTATCCTTATCCCGATCGGACATTCCATGGTCTTCTGTGTATTTCGTCTACACTTTTATGATACTCTCTATTGGCAATCATTCAACAGACTACACTTTTGTGATGTCTGTCACATGAATCATTGATAGAAAGAGAATGCTTTATCTTACAAAATACCACACATAACATCTTCCAACAACCCTTCGCTTTCTCAAACTTCATAGAATCAAAGCCAAGCTGATTCATCATTGTTTCAAAAAGTTGCTCAGAATTAAGTGGCAGCTATGGTGCGGCAATTGATCCATTGTTAAACCCCAGTATACTATTTCTTCACCACCGTACATATTTGTGAAACTAATGGTCAAATCAGGACCAGAATAAAATAAATGAAGATCAGTTACTTAACTGAAAAACCCTCATGCTTTATTTGGGGTAGAAAAGAAGAATCATCATAACCAGAAAAAAATTAAAAAAGCATGCAAGGCATCCCTTACCGTGAACTTCTCCAACACAAGAACAATCAAATAGAACATTAAACAAGTTTATACCAGAAAGAAAGCAATTAAGAAGTGAACATACCAGCTTGGCATAGCCCTCACTCTCTTCCCGAAGAAGGTTAAATTTAGTTTGCTGATAGAGCAAACGAGTGTTTACTCTGACCTGAAATAAGCAGCATAAGAACGTTAGAGGCAAACAACTAAAAACAAGAGACCTTCATTTCAAATCCATTACAAAGATCTCATTAACTCAGTTATAGATGTCACAATACAAGATTCTTGGCCAAAGCTGTTCGATGTAAGGAGAAACAACTATAGACTCACAACGAAGGTTCTTCAGATTTTCATTGTAATAATTGAAGAATCTGGAAAATGTTGTCTGCCTCTCACCTAGAAGTGAGAATGAACCAAACCAAGCAAATATTATGCAGCTCGAGCTCGGGGTTGACTAAATTTTTTGCTGAATAGGCTTGGCTGATTTCCAATCAAGTTTAGCTGATTTCCAATCAAGTTTAGCTAATCCAAATAAGCTTGTATTTCCAGCAAAGCTCAAGCCCAAGCACAACGGACAAGCTCTTCTAAACATCTTACCTCAAGGAACGATGATGAAGAAGAAGCACTAATTACATATCAATGCTCAACCAACTAATGTTGTGTTTAGTTGAGGGATTTGGGGAAGAATTTGGAAAGGGAAAGGGAAAAGGTGTGCAAAACTATGTGAAATTTAGGTATATTTTATTCACATTTCACCTACCTTTTCCATTTCCATTTCCAATTCCAAATCCCTCCTCAAATCCCCCAACCAAACACAGCATAATAGGTTCTTGAAAGCATGGACACACCTCCTAGGGTGGCACGCACAACAATGCCGGACACATGCCATACATTGGACACACAAGGACACGACAAACAAATATGTAAATGTTTCTTATTATTTTTATATTCCTTTTACAATTTTACTAACAAACATGCTCAAACACACACATGACATGCACGTCTACAGAATGGACATGCCTGAGGCACATTTGGGTCATGCCACAAGTCAAAAAAAAATATTCAAAAAGGGGCCCACAAAATAAAATAAAAAAAGAAAAATACAGATTCAAGAAATACGGAATAAACAGACCAAGAAGCCCCTTACCCTCCTCAATGGTGTTTTACACACACACGCAGAGAAAGAAGACAAGAAAAAAAAAATGGCCCACTGAGCTAGACAATAAGAGGCAAGAGCACTCCAGCAAACTGAGTTGAGTGCATTAAAAGTTTAAAACCACCGTAGCTCTTAATCTTTCCTTTCCTATTTCTACCTTGTTTCCAATTTCAGCCATTACCATTCTTTTCTTCACATATTTCACACTAAAATTGTTTAAAAATACATATTAAACTTTTCTAATGCTTTTTAAGACACTGACAAATATTACTTATTCATGAACAGTGGGGAATTTTCAAAATGAACATAGGATTTGGTGCCGCTACTTCTTTTCTAAGAATTAAACATAAGAGACGAATATCTTCTTATTACTTTAAATAATACCCAAATATAGATTTATTTCTCACCATGTTTGTGTCCTAACTCTCTTATAATTTCCATGTTGGCATGTTTCTATCACATTGTATCGTCTACCATATATTTGTGCTTATTAGAACATGGCATGTTTCTATTATGTTGTATCGTCTACCATATATTTGTGCTTCTTAGAACATGTTGAAATTAAACTCAGATCCAAAAGGATGTTTTTGGGAAAAAATATATATACTAAAAAAATAAAAACAGTTTCCATATGCACATTATCAGACAACCTTGGAACTGAAAATGCTGTAAAACCAGTGTTACCACAAAATGCTAATACCCTAGCGAATTATGTTTCAAAATGCATGTTCTGAAACATGGTACATTTTCATTCAAAAACAGTAAATTTAGCAATCCAAAGCAATCCTAAAAGTTTATTCTAATATACTTCCTTAAAGTTTCTTTAGAAGTACAAAATCAAACATAATGAACTAGAATCCAAGGTTAGTGAAGTTTTGACATAACAAAATGTCAAACATGAGTCATAATGCTCATAGAAATGTGTTGCTACATGATTAATTTGGGGGGGGGGGGGAAGAAGCCAACATTTTATTTGATATCTAATTGTTAAACATAATTACTCTAGACTAAAAGTACCTTAAATTCTTAAAGTGTAAACTATACAAATCTATCCTTATCGTACCACAATTTAAAGCATGTGGTGTACAGCATTCCAGTTCCCTTCCTGCTCCACATATGGGAATGACCCACATTCTAGGTAACATAGATATATCACAGCATTCAAGAACCTTAGCAGTCATACCACCATAACTAAATTTAGGGTTTCGGGTTAAGGCTTCAAATCTGCATACCTCTTTAGACTTCAAATCTGCAGCCTTTATCTTGATCATTTCAGATTCCCATAAAAATTCTTCCTGCGGCACATAAAGCATATATATGTAAATTTTTTCACTTTTTCCCTTCTGCTCTTGAATGAATAATGCAGGGGTGTAAGATTTAGAGCAAGCATTCACCTCACAGCGCTCCTGAAAAAGCCTCAATGGAACTAATGCAGACTCCACCAGCCATTTTGCCTAGAGAGGAGCAAACAAAGAAACAAGTACAAAGTAATGTCAACAAATAATAACACTACAAGGAAATGAAAACACAAAACAATGGAACAAGCAATCCGTAGGAGCATCCTGAACCTTCATGATATTAAGCATATGACTAGGTACAGAAATGAAATTTCAACACGAGAAATACTTGTAATGAATTAGGAGGTTGAGTTTGTAAAAATAACAGCTATCCTGTCCATTGTGGCTTACTTCTTGAAAAAAATCCTCTCCATCATGGATTTCTCTGCTGTAGATCCCTTTAGAATGGATTTCTCATCCTCCCATTCTTTATTCTTTTCTTTACATATTTTTATAACGAACTTTCCTTTACATATTCTTAGTATGTGTATCTATATATATAAGAACCGCTTAGTTGCTTGAGGTTCGTCTTTTCTTTCCGATTTTGCCCTTTCATTTAGAATAATTTACTAATGGTGGCCTATATGTTGAGGGAAGGTTTTTTCGTAATTATGCAAGCATTCTTGATCAATTATGCAATTCCAAATACACCCACAAGGTTTGTTTAGAATATGAATCTATCCTATAATACTAGAAATTACAACTATCGTTTGTTTAAATACTGTGGGGGTGGGGGGGGGAATCAATCCTCCTCTGCAATATTAATTTATCAAAATTATTTATTGAAAAATATTTCTCATATTATTAAAAACTGTTAATTGTCTTAATGATTTATTTATTAACAAAATGGTTAACTGAAAAATATTTTTTATATCATTAAAAATTGTTAATTTACTTATTAAAAAAAATTGGTCATTTGTTAGGCGAGTATAATTTATGTATTGATAAAATTAGTTATTTGTATACATATATTTTTTCTTTTGCTTCTTTATTAATTCGGTGAATTATCATAGTAGTTTTTTTGTTAGATGGGAGAATTATCTAAGTATTTGTTTTATATTTATCTATTGAGAAAAGCTACCCACCATAATTTTTTTTTTTTAATAAATTCAGAAGAAATGTTAAAGACTCATAAATTCTTCCAAAATGATACGGTAATAGAATTTGAGTCTATATCATTGGGTGTATAACAAATCAAAAAATGATACATATCATACCATATAATTCTATTATATATCTAATGATTTATTCAATTCAATTCCATAGAACAATATTTTAATTTTTAAAAGATTATCAAAATAAAAAATTTAAACATACTATAATAATGGCCCGCGCCTTGCACGGGCATTCATAAACTAGTATATACATATATAAGGAGCACACAATGAGCAACACATATCAAGAAAGTAGACTGAAAACTGGAGAAACAAAAATTTTGAAATGATTTGAGTTGATCAAAGGCAAGAGGAAACCTTCTTCCATGAAGCTAAAACATCATTTTCCTTTAAGTCTAAAGCACCAAATCTATCAGACCCGATGATTTCAAGACTCACATAAATCACAAGGCATTTATGAAAACTGGATTATGAATAGTGCAATTGCATCGATCTATACATGAATCGAGAAACAAATTGTGAATCAAATTGTGATTCATAAGATTTTGATAGCAGAGCTTCCACCTCATCAAAGTCATTAGTTTATTATGCTCTCCCCAAATAATCCACATCAAGAACCAAGTCTAATATTTGTTCCCTAATCCATTGGTTTAAATCACAGCAGGCAAATAGTGCATTTTTTCTCTATAATGCCACTTTTCTCATCTTTTTACAATATTTTGTAGTTGTCATCAAGTCTTCACAGATTCCAGAAACATAGCCACAAAGAGAGAAGAGAGGAAAAACAGCTTCAAGAGGTGACGAGAGAATATGCACCGAACGAAAATTGACAAAGGTGTCTACTTTCACCTTTTCAACTTTTGGGTTAAAGGTAGATGCATCAGCATTTTTTTATTATTTTTCAGAAAATTGAGCAAAAATACACTCATTATGATCATATAATACACTTTTAAAAACATATTTATAAGCTTAACAGAAACGGGCTACAATTTTGTAGGAAAATACTAAAATGATGAAACGAGCTATGAGTCTACATGTCACAGATATTCTCAATGCATTACGGCCAAGAAGGTCTGTGTACTAGAAGCATTACAGAAAAACCAGGAGATTTTATAAAAGAGACACCAACAGGGTGCAACCCACATACAAAGGAAAACATATCATAAGCTATACATCAAAAACCTATAAAGGCCTCTAAAAATCAAAAAATTGGTGTAAGGATGGAGAAACCACAATCGAGAACCAACTATACAAAAGAGACAAAAATCTACTCTTCAATTAAAAATAGCTCTCAACCATCAAACGTTTTTCAAAATCTCTCTCCCCACAGCACCACCAAGGGAACCAAACCCCATGCCTTTTTCCTTCTTCTCCCTACTCGCAATAAAAACCAAGAGCAAAGCAATTCCCTCACCATCCGTAGGAACACCCACTCCAAGCCAATCAAGAGGATTAGCAACAACCACATTTCCCTTACCACCTCACAATAAATTAGAAGATGGTTTACCAATTCTCCTCCTTTCTTACACATGCAACACCAATACACGTGCACTTGCCTTCACTTAATTAGGTGGTCAATAGCAAGAATCTTGTCATGTGGTACACACCAAACAAAGAACACCACCTTAGAAGGGGCTTAGTATCCCATATTCCTCTCCAAGGAAAAGGACATCCTCCATGACCCAAGAATAGAAAGATTTCACCGAAAAAAGGCCAGAAGAGGATCTCGTCCATCGGATGGAATCTCCTCCATCACAAACACGGGTGGCATACTAACAATTAAGAAGATCCATCAACTCCCCCCTATGAAGCACGGATACTCCGAAATAGGCCACGTACGCGTATCGGATACAGATACACGCCCGATACACGAGGATACGTATCAGATACGGGAAATGAAGTATCCGATTTTTTTTTAAATTTTTGAATTTCGAATACGTCTCGGATACGCGAGGATACGGTCAAGATAAGGTACGGATACGGCGGGGGCAAAAAAATAATTTAAAAAACTTAAAATGGGGTGAAATTGTAAAATATGAAAAAAAAGATGAAATAAAACACAAAAAAAAGAAAAATCATAAACCAAACCCTCTCTTAGGTATTCGACGCAGCCGCGAAGGAGGAGGAGAAGCAGCTCGCTGATCGTCTCGAACAGCAGCTTGCCGATCGTCGATCAGGTTCGCGATCAGGTTCGTTCCTCTCTCTCTCTCTTTCGCTCCCTCTGTCTGCCTCTCACGAACTCTCTCTCTCTCCCTCTCCCTCTCGATCTCGCTCGATCTGTCTGTCTAGTTTGAGATGTCGATCTCATCTCCCCCCGTTTGCATATTTATTTGTATTATTTTAATTTTTTTTATTTTTTATTTTTTATATGTAGACTCTGCAAATCACGTAAGATATTAAAAAAAAAAAAAATTTATATATTCGGTTTATTGAATCTGATAAAACAAACAAATAAATAAACTTATTAATAAATAAATAAATAAACTAAGGTAAAAAAAAACTTATTAATAAATAAATAAACTTATTAAAAATAAAATTTGTCAACTTATAAAATTATAAACTTTGTAAACTTATTAATAAATCAAATAAGGTAAAAAAAAATTATTAATAAATAAATAAATAAATTTATTGATAAATAAAAGAACTTTGTAAATTTTTTCCCCCTTAATTTGGGATTGAATTGTATTATGGTTGTTATGGGTGATGCTATATTGTTAAAATTGTTGAAATTTAATTGAATTGATGAATTTTTTGTTATGGGTGATGCATTATGGTTGTTATGGGTGATGTTACATTATATTGTCTTTTGTTTCAAGTTTTATTTTTATGTATACTACATTACTAAAAATTGTTGAAGTTTTATTTTATGTATGTTACATTACTAAAAATTGTTGAAGTTTTATTTTTGTGTATGTTACATTACTAAAAATTGTGAAAAAAATATTTTTTATGAACGTATCCCTGCCGTATCCGTATCCTACTTTTTTGAATTTTGACGTATCGCCGTATCCGTATCCGTATCGTATCGTACCCGTATCCATGCTTCCTAGACTCCCCCACTTTCTGACCATTAAGCTTCCCTTCTCAAAGCAGTGTCCTTGTTTAAAATAAGGTAATCACTAATAGTTGCCTTGCTATCAAGAACAACACGAGCCACATTAGGGTAAGCATCCTCCAACTTCACATCTCCATGATTCCAAAACTTCACCTCTCCCTGATTCCAAAACTTCATCTCTTCGTTACCTATCACAAAATAAACATGGCTGAAGAATGAGAAAATTTCAAACACATTTCCATAAACTCGACCCATACGACATAGTAACCTCCTTCAAAGTCTATCATCCCCAACTGCTAACCATATTTACACTACCGTTCTCTAATATCTCTCCCTTGCACAAGCAAATCTCCACAATCATTTACCCAGCAAAGCTTGATTGAAAATGGCAAACGTGTTAATGCCGAAAACCCCCTCCCTCTCAACGGGGTGCACACCATATCCCACTTCACCAAATGGTACTTGAACTCTTTGCCATCCCTTCCCAAAGAAAATCCAATTGTAGTTTCTCCAGTCTCTTAACAATATACAACGGAATGGTAAAGAGAGAAATAAAATTAGTGGGCAAATTGGATAAGGTGCTCTTAGTCAAGGTCAACCATACACCTCTTGAAAGCTATTGCCTCTTCCACCCAGCAAAAGGCAACAATTATGTAGTAAAATACTTAAATGGTGAAATGAGCATGAGGGGCCTATTTGGTGTAGCTTATTGTACGCTAAAAGCTAATAATCAAATAGCATAAACTAAAAGTATTTCCCCCCTAGCTTCCAAGTAATTAGTTTTTCCATCTTAAGCTATTTTTGTCTCATAAGTTGTAAACAGAACCTGTAACTAACACTTTAAGCTATTTTTGTTTCATAACTTGTAAACCATAGTGCATCTCATAGATATGTTCGATGCATTATGGCCAAAAAAGTTTCGTGTGCTTGAAACATTACAGCAAAACTAGATGAACAAACATGTTTAGCAAAAACACTTCATGAATCTTACAGATATTTAAATGCATTATAACTAAAAAAACATAATCCAAATCCCAAAAAAATGCATGTTCTCAAACACGAAAGCTAATTCCCTAACACCCTAAAGGTGATCAAAACTTAAAAGCTTTATTATGTAGCAAAATACTAAAATGGAAAAATGGGCATGACAAACCTATTTAGTACAGGTTATTGCAAGCTAAAATCTTGTAATTAGAAATAAAAGCTAAAAACAATCCTGCACCAACTTCACAATAATCAGCTTTTTTGTAGCTTACACTATTTTGTCTCATAAATTGTAAACATAAGTTTTACCAAACACTCTGGGCCTCTGGCATAGATTTCAAAAAAAATTATAAAAAATATATATACATATTTCTAAGCAGCCCAATAAGATGCAGCAAACAGATTTTCTCAATGCATTACTACCAAAAAGTTTGGTGTACTTGAAGCATTAAAACCAGAACAAAAAACATACTTTTAACAAAACACTTCATGAATTCATAAATCTTACGGATATTTCAATGCATAACTATATAATAAAAAAAACCATAACCCAATCCCAAAAAAAGAGAAAGATGCATATTCTTGAAAAGAAAAACTAATTCCCTAACACCCTCAAGAAGATCAAAACTCAAAAGATTGCATTTCATCCTTGTTTTTTCCCCCTTCCCTTTTCATTATATGTCTCTCCTGCTTCCACTTCTTTTTCACTAGGATACAAATCTGATTAACTAATAAGTATGGTTTAACTGAAATCCTTCTAACTTCAAATTTTCTTAACTTTAGCTTGGTATGAGAGTAATAACTTTCATGATTTGAATTGATGTTGCATTTATAATCAAGTGCCTTTCATGAACCAGCACAAAAACACTAGAGCCAATCCCAAATTCCAAGATTTAAAGCCTCAATAATAAAAATATACCAGTACCTAAAGTGATAACAATATATGACAAACACACAGTATATAGAAAACAAACCTGATAGTCTTTTCATGCCAGAAATGTTGACAACATAATTTCAAATGTAATAACTACAATAGGCAAACAAAAGATATCATCTATAAAGGTTCACTTGTTTTTTGCATGTACACTAACCAATTTAATGAGACGAGCGCGATACTCTCCAGGCATCGTAAGCTGCCAAAAAAAAAGGTGAATTAACACATAAGTAAAACAAATTTTTGTTAGAAACTTGTAGACTTTCATGGAATATACTGAACAATAGTTAGTCATTTAACAAAAGCATCAATAAAAGTATCACAAGAAACACCTTTCATAGCTTTCATGGCAAATTAAAAAAATAGTGAACCTGAATGCGTGTTCTCCCACGCCTAAAAATGCGTATTTTAAATAAAAATAACCATCTTTTACATGAAATAGTTGTGTGGCACATGTTGTGCACATGCGTCTCCCATTACATTATCTTCCCTCTCTCTTACCAACAAATTCAAAAATTGGAATCATATTGGGATAATTTAAGTAAATTAAACTTCCAATATAAACATTTCACTTTCAACAGAGAGGCACATCCACTAGTAAGTTGTATTTTGTTATAGTATATTATATGAGTTTAATGCAATAAACATGGTGAAGGAGTTCCCTAAACAATGACTAGACAACAAATAATCTGTACTAAAAGTTGAATCCCAATCATTGCACAATTCAGAAAATTTCATATTGCCAATTTTTTTTTAATGAAATTACACTCAAAACAGCACACAATCACACCAAGGAAGAAAATAAGCTCTTTAGTTTCTAGTTTTAAAAAAACCAAAAAACATTTCAATGCCGTTTGGTAACATTTACAATTTACTATTTTAAGTTTACAGAAAGCATTAAACATGTTCATGTTTATTTTGAATAAAAACAAAAACAAAAAATATGTTTGATACATGTGTTTTAAAAACTTCTTCTGAAAACAAGTGAAATGGATGGCCTGCTGGACGTGGTTGTCCACGGTTGGCAATGTTGGCCGGAGGTGGCTGTCGGTTGCCAAAGGTGGTGGTCGACTAGTTAACATAGACTCTTCAAAATAAATCAAATACCTGTGTCGGACACCCGACACTCGAATAAGGGTAAAGGATATATGGCAACTACTTTTCAATGGGCACTTCTTATATAATTGTTTATAACGCTATTATTATATGTACATATTGGTGTATAATTGCTATAAATGTCTTTTTAACAATGCAAGTTACATATAGCACCATTTTATCTCACATATTTGATTAAAAATATGACATTTTTTTGGCTGAATCCATGTACCATTAAATTTATGATTTAATGAATCCGATCTCTAGATACATACCCACTCCCGACACCCGTATCCGAGTCCTTATAGCATAGGTGGCCAAAGGTGTTGCTGGTTGAGGGAGGTGGTAGATGAAAGTGGTTGCCACTGGTGAGAGGTAGTTGGCAGTGGCCACAAGTGGTTGTCAACCGTGGGAGGTGGGGACCAAAAGTGGTTGTAAATGGTTTTCTGATCAAAGGTGGTTTTCCAGCAAGAGGAGATTACCACCTATGAGAGGTGGTTGGCGGTGGTGCGAGGAGGTTAATGGCTGAGGGAGATGGTGGCCAAAGGTAAGGTGGTGGTTGGCAAAAGGAAGTCATCATCATCACCAATGGTAGCCGGCAGTAGTGCTAAGCCGTAGGAGGTGGACAGAAAGGGTTTGAGAAAAAAGGAAGAAATGAAACAAAACAAATTTAAACAAGTGAAACCAACTTTTTTGAAGTTACAAAAATTTAGTAAATTTTGTAAACTATTTACCTTTTTTTTTTAAATAAAAATAAAAAACAAGCAAAATTTTGTTTACAGTTTTCAAAATTTCTGCAAAAATAAACAGAAAACTATAAATATAAAAGTAATCAAACAGGCCCTTGGCATCCTACATATTTAAACTATTTAACAATTGAAGTAGTATGTGACCATGATATGAATTTATTGTGATATTCTACAAATTAACAAAGTTCTATGGTATTAGTCCCGTCTAAGGATGCACTCTTTGGTTGGGAGACAGTTTCATAGAAAAAATTTGAATACAAACAACCTAATTAAAAGAAGAAAAAATGATCCCTAATTGGTGTTGCATGTGTAGGAGGTGAGCGTGGAAGGACTATCTTATTTATTGCCAGGTGGCATTAGAAATCCAATCACTTGTGCTGTGCATTTTTTGTGTATCTTCAGCATTCCAAAAATTAATGGAAGAATTATGTCATAGTGCGATTGAAGGTATGGTAAAAGGAGAAGAGAGTTATGGTTGCTATCTCTATGATGTTCATAATGCGGACAAACCTACATTCTTTTGCGGATAGTGAGGCACCAATCAATGAAGTGAAAATTCAATTTTAGATTATATTATACATCCAGTCTAGGTCACAAGGAAGGCGCACCTTTGCATAGTTTTTTGAATTTTGTAGACAAACAAGTAGTTTTAGATTCCATTATCTTGTAATAGAATCTTGTAGATTTTGTGGACTTTTTGTGTCTAGGTGACGCAATGTTATACACATGGGAACTAGATAACATTCTGGTAGACTAAAGGGATCTTGAATCCACGACAAAATATGAAACCTTGAATCCACAACGAAGAAAAAAGTTATGAATATTAATGATAAAAGCAGTATTGTCCCTAGACTTACATGGCCATTTATAATAAACTAAGTCTTGGAGACCAGGCAATCTTAGAGACCAAGAAATCATAAAATTAGGAAATAACCAACTAGACTAATTCATTGAAAAGAACCTAAAAATTAAGAAACCTAATATTCTAAGATATCCATACTAAATTACAAGTCACCTAAAAAATTACTAATTCCAAAAAATACTAATCACTAGGCCTTTTGCGCTTCCTTTTTAGGTTATTATGGTGTAACCTCTTCTATCATTTTCATACATGGGTTTTATCCCTTCTTGTTTCATTTTATGAAATTTACTTATCAAAAACATAGCAATAAAGTATCAGTGTTAATTGGTCAAAACACTGAGCAAAGTAATGCTCAAAAGGTTTATTTGAGTGTTCACCTAAGAAACACAGACACTCCTAAGAATATGGCGCATCCGTCTTGTGTTCGTGTCCAACACACACTCGTTGGACACCTCCCGACATGTGTCCGACACTAATCAAAACATGTTCGAATTTTTATAAGATTTTTTTGAACTAGACACTCTTCAGACACTCATGTCCATTGCTTAAATACACGTGTCCAACAATTAAACACGCATGAAACTAATTATAAGTTTGAACTAAATAATTTAGGATACAATAATAAAAGAAAAATTAATGTAAATTTATAAAATAAGTGTGAATAATAAGCGTTATATTAAATTTTTTTATTATCTTTAAATGATATATTCATGCATATGACATATAATAAATAAATAAAATTATATATTTCATGTGTGGCCCCCACGTGTCGTGTCCTACCCCGAATTTTTTTTAAATTGGCATGTCGGCGTATCCGTATCGTATCCGTGTCGTGTCGTGTGTCCATGTCCGTGTTTCTTAGGTGTTCATGTGCATGTTCAAATACAATTTGATATTTATTAGGTCACAACTCACAACACTATTCTCAAGGTTTATGTGTTCAGCTCCCTCACTGATGATCACTCTTGAAAGTAGTTTGAAACTATAGCAGAGTTCCACTGCTTTACTTATCAAAAAAGCAAAGTTCAGGGTTGCATACAATTAGATGCATAGTGGGCATTAGCTATGAGAAACTTGTCGGTTTATGAATTAAAGGGGTGGAAGAAAGGTTGTGGGGTTAGTAGATCTAAATGGGCTACAGTTGACTAGTTTAAAAGCAATAATATACTGGAATTTCAAGAAGTAAAGGTTTGAACACTGACCGAAAGAGTTAAAAGAAAAAAAAGGACAGGCCTACAAACCTGGGGTTAAGGAATGAGAAGTAAAGAAATTAGGGTTTCATTGAGCTCCAAATAACAAAATCCAATCACATAAAATTAAATAGAATTTCCAAAATCAAACACTGTTTAATAACAGTGTTATCAGTACACCAGCAACTCATACTGCTACTTCTTACTTCTCACATCATCTCCAAAACAATGATATCAAAAGCAATAGAGCTGCCCAAAAGGGGGAAACACAGATTACAATAGCAAAAGGGTGGAAATCGCAATGGGTAATTGGTAAATATAGAATTCAAAGACGCAACCATTATTTATCTGATTAACAAAATTTCAAAAAATATATCACTCAAATCTCCTACTCAAGAATGTTGAAATTGCTCCATTGTACCATTACATACTTTCAGTTTTGATAAAAAATGCTTCGTTATGTTTTCATAATGCCATCACAAATAGCACTAGTAGCCTTCTCTCTTTCTTTAATTTCCCCAATTAATTTTTGTTTGCACCATTCTATAAATCTATTAGGCACAACCCAAGAAAGAAACTATAGTGACAAAATTTCACACACCCCACACTCTTCAAAAATTAGGGTTTCATAGTTATTTTGGATTGAAACAAAAAATCTGATCACAGAAAATTAAATATAATTTCTGAAATTGACTACTTCTCAATCAAAGTTCTATCAGCACACCAGTAGCGCACATTGTCTCCAAAACAATGATGCAAAAACCAATGGAGCTGCTCAATAAGAGGATAAATGGATTACTAGTTAGGTGGAAATTTCAATGTGCATATGGAAAATTCAGAAATAACATGCCTTTAATGATACAACCATTATTTTATCTAATTAACAAAAATTCAAAAACTCTATGGCTCAATTCTCCCACTCCTTTATAAGCATGTCAAACTTGCTGCGATGTACAATTAAAGGTTTTCAGATTTGGTAAGCATTGCACGTTATATTTTCATAATGCCATCATAATTAGCACAAATACCCTTCTCTTTTTCTTTAATTTCCCTGATTAATTTCATTTGCACCATCTTATTTATCTATTAGCTACAAGAAACAAACTATAGTGACACAATTTCACACACCCCACACTAACTCATCCCCCCCCAACCCCAACCCCAAAGTGCCAATCAAAAGGCAACACGGCAAAGTCCCCATTCGAAGGCAGTGATACCTACAGTTTTAACTCCAATCCATGAGTCACCAAAACTTAAATGCACATGAAACATATAATTTTCTAAATATTATGAAAATAAAAAACAGTTGCTGTAAATCAAATTAAACCACCTATTAATTGTGATCAAAACAAAAACAAAAAACAAATACAAAACTCACATCTTGAGCCATTTGGGTCACAACATCTGCAAAATTTGAACTCATTTCTTCATCTGAGACTTTATCCAAAAAGTCAACTGAATCCAATGCCGCTTTACACTTCTGAAATGGCAATTCACCCCGAACCTAACAACAGAAAGGCCAATAATTTAATGCAAAAAATAAAAATTAAAAAAAAAAATTCCATGTAATTACATACTGGGCTAAACCCATTTACAACCAGAACAAGTATAATATTCTAACTATAAAATCACACATGATTCAATACAAAACTCAAGAAAACACAAATTAAGAAAAACCCAATTGCAGGAAGAACACATACCACGGTCCAACAAAGCTCATACAGAAAACGAAGCACTGGGACCGGGTTGGGGGCCTTGAAGCTAGGGTTTCCGTTCTTCCATTCCCGAATACTTTCTTCTGTAACGCAAATACACTCCAGAGGCGGAAGAGACATGCTCGGGGATTGAATAAGAAAAACAAACCCTAAGGTTTTTGGATTTGGGGGAGGAGTGAATCAGAGAGAATGGCGAGAGAGTGTTAAAATCGTAATCTGAGAGGATTTCATTGATGGAAAAGAGATTGAAAATGGAAGCGTTTTAGGGTTTCAGGCGACTCGGTGATCGAAGTAGCGGTTTGGGAACAGAACGCAGTTACGAGCTATTCTCTCTTTAGTTTATTTGCTTTGGCTTCGCTATTAATTGGAGTGATGGTGTTATTTCAATCCTAGGTTATGTTTGGATAGCAAGAAACAAAGAGTTTTCTTTATACATATTCTAAAAAATTAAATCTAACTCATTTTTCAAACTATTTATCAATTTAATCTATTTTTTTTAAAAAAAAGTTCAAAATACGAGTTCATCATGAAACTATATGTTCAAAATACGATTTCATATTGACTTGACTTGACTTAGCCTCCGTTTGGGAAGTGGGTTGGCTTTTTGACTTTTTGACTTTTTTGGCTATTTTAGCCTGGGCTAAAAAGCTTGGTTTGGGAAGGGCTTTTTGGCTTTTTGGATTTTTTGACTTTTTTTGTGAGAGAAGAATGTAATGATTATAGGTTGGATGTGATGTTTTGTTTGTTATGGCTAAAATAGCCTATTTTGTTTTTTGTGGCTAAAATAGCCAAAAAAGCCTGAAAAAGCCCTTGCCAAACAGAGGCTTACTGATGAAATCATATGTTCAAAATACGATTTCATATTGACTTGACTTGCTGATATACATACATGGATCATGTTAATATAAAATTGAATGTTGAAAATGCAATTTCACTACGAAATCATATTTTGAACTTGCGATTTTTAAAAGTGAATCAGTTTAATAAATAATTTGAAAAGTTTGTTATTTAGGGCTGGTTTGGAGTGTCCTAAAAAAGTGCACTTTTTGTCTTTTTGGACTAAAAAAGACAAAAAAAAAATATAGAGGTTTGGGTTAACTTTTTTGACTTTTTATGGAAAAATGTGTATTAAAAAATTGTATAAAAAAAGTGTGTAAGAGATGATAAGAGAGGAGTGGGCCCCAGCCGTACAACCGGCTGTGTAATTTGAGTTGGAAATTATTGGCTAATTTTTGTACAAAGCATTGGACGGTTTTGTTTGACCCGTGGGGGTCATCACGGGTCCCATTTTAATAATTTGAACCGTTCAATGTGTGTAACTTGTCGAACACTATGTACCTATAAAAAATCACGTTAATCGGATATCGATAGCTATCTGATCAGATTTATTTATTTTTCAATCATTAATTATAACACTATCCATTTGTTGTACATAACTGATTTGATCATATAGTTATCGATATCCGATCAATGTGATTTTTTTTTAGACATATAGAACTCGACGATTTCTACACATTGAACGGTTCAGATTATCAAAACAACTTTATTATTTTCTTTTATATATAAATTATTTATTTCAATTTTATAATAGATTGCAAAGACTAGGCTCAGACATGATACTAAGGCCTCGTTTAGCAAGTGTTTTTTTTAGTCAAAAAATTACTAAAAAAATCAAAAAGTCAATAACTTATACCAAAAAGTCAAAGATTCCATTTTATTTTTACTTTTTGCACAATTTTTCGTAAAAAGTCAAAAAGTCATCCAAGCATACTAGTTTTTTTTACATCACATTTTTGCTAAAAAGTCAAAAAGTTACTAAAAAAGTCTGTTTCCAAAAGAGGCCTAAAGCTTAACTCTGAGCATTTTTATATATAAATTATTTATTGCAATTTTATTATAGATTGCAAAGACTAGGCTCAGACATAATACTAAAGCTAACTCTGAGCTTGGAAGGAAGATTTTAGGTCTGACATTGGGCTGAATTAGGCTCAAAGCCAACATTTCTTCGTATAGAGTTGAGCGCAGTTGAGCCCATCTCCACTGTGCATGGTCATCCATGGAGGTGGTTGAATTGGGGGCCTTTTGGAAGGATAGTAGGAAGATGGTAGGTATTGAACTAACACAAGAGCACCAAAAGTAGGGGAGATGAGTGATGAGACAATATTGAGGAGAAAGAAAGGGGTTTAAGCTTACCAAAGGATATGACATCTGCTATGCTTATATCCTTTTGTGGGGTAGATGGCATATGATATTCGATCCCATTGAAGGTTAGGCATTAATAGAATTGCCTTGAGTAGAGTGCAATGTGTTTGATGCAATTAATATAGGTTGTGGTGCAATTGTTTAGGCATTAATTTAAAATTTTGACTAAGTTGTTTATCTCATTGGATCATCAATCGATGTTGGTTCCTATCTAGATGAACCATAACCTACTTTCTCTTAAGGGGTGTTTTGAGAACTTGACTTTTAGTCACTTTTTTTTTTGTTTGTAGTAAAAGTCAAAAGTTGATTTTTTTGTATTTTTTTCATTTGGAAAGTTGGTTTTTAGTCATTGATGAAATCACAATTCTACCCCTTATAAGTTAAAATGTGATATATGGGTGAAGTTGTAAATATTTTAAATTGAATGAGGATAATTTGGTCATTTTATTATGATTTGACATCATAAACAAATATTAATCAAAAAAGTCAAAAGTTACTTTTTACCAACTTCCCAAATCATTTGTCTAAAAAAGTCAAAAACTTGATTAAAAGTCAAAAAATTACTTTTTACCATCTTTCCAAAATAGACCTAAGTATATATATGTCTGTTTTGTAAAAATTGCTTATACTCACAGTTCAACCAATGATAATTGGTTACAACTATCTTGTCCATGATTTTGCATTCACACACACATGGTTCATGATTCTTCACTCAAAGTATCACTTCAAATAGTTGACGATGGTAACGACGATTGAAACTCCAACGTGTCACATAAAGTATCAAGTCTCCCAGGACTAGACTAACTTCACATTTGTCAAATTTTATATGATATATTGGGCGTATTTGGGAATTGAGGTATTTTAGTTAGTTTTTTTTTATTATTTTAACTTAATTTAAAAAATTATATTTGAAATGATAGTTGATTTTTTATTATATTTTTTTATAATTGATTTGATAATTATGAGAAAAAAAGTAAAATGATTATGATTTGAATGTAACATTTTATGATATTGATTATTTTAACCTATTTTATCTTTATTAACTATTTTAATCCCAAAAAAATAAAAAAAACAACCAATCCAAGTTCCCAAACACCCCATTGTTATTTATTCATTCCCTTGGTACACTTACAAACCAAGACATTGCTTTTTGTAGAAAAGATTTGAAAATATTGAATTAAAAACAAACTCATAATATAAGCATATATATAAGAGCATGTTTGCTTGGTGGGATTAAAGGGTGGGATTAGACTAATAGTCTGTTATTTGTTTCAAATTTTTTGCACCGGACTAATAGTTCATCTGGGCTATTAATCTCAAATCTGTAGGACTATTGTATTCCATGGGGTTTGGTAATATTTTTTTGACCATTTTCCAATAAAAACAAACACCACATCACTACTACCACTGCTTCCTTAGTTTTAGTAGAGAGAGAGAGAGGCGGGGAGAGGAAGACAAATAAAATTTTGCTAGAAAATAGTTCACAGTAGTCTTCACCATCATTGATCAGCACAGGATCAACAAAAAAATTAATGATTTATTCAATGATAATTTTCGCTAAACATATCAATGATAAATTTATAACTGTATAATTTGTAAAAAATTACAGATGCCAATTCTTTCATTCACATTCACACTTACACTCACTTACGCACAAGACACTCACATCATACATACACATACAGAACTCAAAACTAATAAATTTATTATTGATTTTTTTCATTTACAGTAGAACTGGTTTGAAAAATAAAGAGACATAAAGAGAGAGAGAGAGAGAGAGAGGTGGAGGAGGAGGGGTAAGATCTAGAAAAACATTGTTGCTTCAAGTCATTTGGAGTCAATTTTACCATTGAAACAACTAGATCGATGTAGATTTAGAACTAGATCTGTGGATTAGTGAAGGTAAAGTAGAGATCCAAGATGTAGAATGTAGATCGGCAGCAATGGAGTGTAGATCGGCAGCAATGGAGATGGTTGGTGAACAGCGGTGATAGCTTGGCAACAGTGAAATGTAGATCGATAGTGGTAGCAAATGGATGGCGACAATGGTGAAAGGAAAATGATAGTGGCAATAGTGGATCAATGACGACGGTAGTAGTGATTGTGGAATGACAATGGTAGGGGTGGGCAACAGTTTATCCGAACCGCTCAAACCGCCCAATCCGCATATAAACGGGCGGTTTCGCAAACATAATGCGGGCGGATGCGGTTTAAAATATGACAAATTTGCAGGTTGCGGGCGGGTCGCGGTTTAAACCTGCAATCCGCAAAAACTACCCGCACTTTAATTATTATTATTATTTTTTTTTTTTATATACGAACTTTGTAACTTTTTGTGACAACCCTCACCACTGTTTATAGATAATAACACTGATTAGTACTAATCTATGATTAAGCATGTTAATTAACTGACTGACTGAAATTCTGAATCGATTGATTGATTGTGCTAGTTTGAGTGCAATTCTATCTGTTGACTGTTAAATTATCTGTTCATGTTTTATGCTTTAAACTGCAAATTGAAGGCCTTATCGGCGGCCGAATCTGAAATTGATTGATGTTTTGTGCCAATTAAGATTTATATGATTTTATGGTATATTTAATTGAAATGTGATTTGGTATGATTAAATTGGTTTAAATAATGTTAAATTACATTAATTGGGTTATTTTCAATATTGCCACTTAGTGGACAACTCTAGGCTATGTATTTGATTCATTTGTTTGGCACTACCATTTCATTTCATCAGCCATTTCTAAGCAAAACCGACTAGAGAGAGAGAGAATAGGGAGATAGCTTGATTTCATCTCATTTTGGCCTGAAAACTTGGTTGAATTGAAGGAAATTTGCATGATTGTGCTTCCAAACTCTAGACTCAAGACTTAAGGTAGGGAGTTCTTCCTTTTAATTGTGTATTTGAGTTGATTCTTGCATGGTTCATGAGCCTCTAGTGATTTAAGTCTAGAATTGGTCCTAATATGTTGAATTGAAGCTTAATTCATGCATGCATGTACATATTGTGAGGTTTTGAGGTTGTAGTTCATAAATTCCCCACATGCATGTCCATATCTTAAGTATAGTTCATGAATTCATCTTATTTTTGAGGTAATGAGCTCATTTATTTGAAGCCTTGAATTTATTGAACACATGCACGTTACATTTAAAGTATGTCCTTGAAGTTTGGTTTGACATTGG